CACCCCCCAAACCCCCTGGTGGCCCCCCTGACAGGGTCCTACATTTGTCCCCCTCAAAGTTTTAATGCTGACGACGCCAATGCCGACAACACCTCGCTTTGTGTTTCAGCTAGGGACGGGGTCTCTCATCTAGAGACAATAGCATTTGAGAGTTCCAATAGAGCTTTGCAATGGTTCCAAAACAACAAGCTTCTTCTAAACTGCAATAAAACAAAAATACTCCAATTCAATTCCATATTGACAGCTCAAACAAGTAATTTCCACTGACTGTTTTGTTAGGCAATGAAGAGATCTCTTCTTGCAGCAATGTTAAGTTTATTGGTTTGGCCTTAGACAGGCAGCTCAACTTTCATGACAATATAGAGCTCATATCCAAACCCTATTAGCACAGGAATTTTTGTGATCAGAGGTTTTTCGAAGTTAACAGATTCTTGTGTAACCTTGAGTACCTATTAACTTATGGACTGATTTACCCATTACCTTGAGTGCCTATTAACTTATGGACTGATTTACCCATTATTGTCTTATTTAGTGGCAGTTTGGGGCTGTGAGAGCGTACGAACAAAGTTTGTCTTCCGTCTTCAGAAAAAAGCTCTAAGAGCAGCCTTTAGAATATCCCGCCGTACTTCTTGCAAGCCTCTCTTCAAGGAATACAATATTCTTACATTTCCATCCATTTACATGCTGAGTTGTCGTCTTTTTTTATTTTTAATTATCATCTGTATCAACCGCAGTTTCATTCAATGCAGTAGCCTACACTCTCAGACACAAAAACAATATCAAGCTACATAAGCACAGGAAAAGATTCTTTGAAAGACACCTCTTTTATAATAGTATTAGGTTTTTCAATGTGTTTCGTGAACCCCTGAAAGTGGGGCAAGCCAAGGACAAATTTGGGAGAGCGGTCAAACGTATAGGCTACTCTTAGAACAAGCTCCCTACACTGTGAAAGATTTTTTTTAAGTTGCCAATGATGCTGTTCTGTTATATTTAAGTTTAGAATTTAGTTTTATTTTATATTCTTGTGACGCTATTGTACAGTTTTTAAGTGTGAAATAAAGATGATTTGATTTGATTTAAACAGTCCAGGTTAAGGTAAACTCTTGAATAAAGTCATTTTTAAAGGGAGAAGGCAATAACTTAAGTAGTCTTATCAGCATGGCACTGATTTTGGTATTGTTACTAAGGGCTTCTAAAGAATTTTGAAAAAATCACATTATTTGGCCTATTTTGAACACTTTTTACATTTGGTACTTTTGGCACAAAACGCCTATTTCACCCTAAAAATTACAAAAAGTGCTAAATATCGTTTTTTTTTTTACATTTAATGTGTTTTTACTATTAATTTACTTAGAACATTTTAAACACTTTTCCCCTCGGACACTTTTTCGGCAACTGCCGTTTTTACCCAGAAAATCAGATTTGAAAAATAATTAAAACTGCAAAGTGCTGAAAATGCCCGGCCCACTCCTCTACCAAACTAAATATAACCTAACCTAACAAAACCTAACCAAACTTACCCTAACCTACAAAATCTTGGTTTAACAAAAAATCCGCTATTTTCGGCATAAGTTATTGCTAACGCTAACCTAAGCATTAGTTTAGAATATATTTAGTTTGGTAGAGGAGTGGGCCAGGCATTTTCGGCACTTTGCAGTTTTTTATGATTTTTCAAACCCGATATTCTGGGTAAAAATGTCAGTTGCCGAAAAAGTGCCAGAGGGGAAAAGTTTTTAAAATGTTCTAAATAATAGTAAAAACACAATATTTAAAAGTGGAAAAAACACACTGACTTTTAACTTAGCACTTTTTTTGATTTACAAATGTGTTTTTTAGGGTGAAATAGGTGTTTGCCCCAAAAGTGCCAAATGTAAAAAAGTGTTATAAATAGGCCAAATAATGAGAAAAAACATTATTTCAAAAATTTGTTAGAAGTCCCCAAATTAAGCAACACCATCTAAACAAATCTAAACCTACACAGTTCTACAATTAAAAAACCACTTTTATATCAAAATATTCCTTAAAATAAATTTTATATAAGTAATATACTTTAGGTACCGTACCTTATTTTACCTCCTTTACCTAGTTCCGGCATGACATAGGCCTAGCTCGAATTCCGGCATCCGCCGGCCTAATACCGGCATCTTGTATGTAGACTTTAATTTAAGTGTTTTAAGCATATATTGGCCAGATAAATTATATATATTGACTAGCTTTTGATCAGATGCAGTTTCTTATTTTAAGAATGCTAAATGAAAACAATATTTCACCTATAAACTAATTAATTTCAGGTGTTTGGTGTGGGCCTAACTTAGTTGGATACATCTTGAATTAGGCCTTGTAGTGATTTTATTTTGCAACAGTTGTTTTCTATTTTCCCAAAAAAAGAAGCCTAGGCCTACTACAAATACACACATTTTTCAGTACTGTAGGTTATTCTAAAAGTGATAATTTTACTCAAGTTTACTAATCTTTAAGTTACTGTAATCTCATCTGCTCTGAAGCAGGAAAAAACATATCCATACAGTAAAGCAGTTTTCACCAAGTTCTGTTTGTTTTTTTATCCATGAGGGTTTTAAAATAAGACTCAAGATATCATGGTGTCTTTAAATGTTAATAAAACACAAAATATCAACTAGAACACAAAACAAGTTTTAAGTTTCTATACAACTATTTCATGCAATGACCTCATGCAAACATTCCACCTGATCCCAGCTTAGAGTGGATGCCATACCTAATCATTAGTGGGAATGCAATGACCTCATTCAAACATTTTATTTTATTTATTTATTAATCATTTCAGCCTTATATAATCAAATAGATAACGTAAACTCTTACCTTAGCAATCCTTATTATGGTTGTCCGATATTAATTTCAAACCCGTAGGTCCATCTTCAGTCGGAAGTTTAGGTAGACCAAATGCTTATTATAAGATCCACCGGATGGGCTTCGGAGAAATGTTGACATTTAACACCAACACGATACACATTACAGTCGACATAAATAATATACAGAGTTTAGGAAAAAAACCATGGTTTTATAAACAGTGGGATAACCTCACTTCAGTCAAGGAACACGCGGAGTTCTGCCGGCAGCGTGTTCCTTGACTGAAGTGAGGTTATGCCACTGTTTATAAAACCATGGTTTTTATTCCTAAACTCTGTATATTAGCCTATTTATGTCGACTGTAATGAGTATCGTGTTCGTGTTAAATGTCAACATTTCTACGAAGCCCATCGGGTGGATCTTATAATAAGCATTTGGTCCACCTAAACTTCCGACTGAAGATGGACCTACGGGTTCGAAATTAATATCGGACAACCATAATAAGGATTGTTAAGGTAAGAGTTTACGTTATCTATTAGATTTATTTATTCCTATGGCAAATGCCATTAAACAATACATATCAAAGCAAGATGGTTTACTAAAATAAATACAAGAATTGCAATTACATGGCACAATACATACAAAATACTAGAAAATGATAGATTTCAGATTGCATTGAATGATCCGACTCATTACGAAATAATACGTACATGCATGAACAAGCAGAATAAATAGTTACAGACTATCATTACAAGAGACATCATATCATACTAGTTATAACAACAGAATAAATACTCATTACAAAATATTATATACAAGAAGAAGCAAAATAAATAGTTACAGACTGACATTACAAGAGACCTTCATATCACTAACTATACAACAGAATAAATACTACAACAAGCAAAATAGAATACAAGGCAGGAAAAATGCAAATTATAAAATTTTACGTGACACATATGCTGTAACTTCGGTAGGATTCAACCAGACAGAAGCTCGAGAGCACACTTTCGGACCCGTTGAAGACTGTCGAAGATTAGGTCGCACTCCGACGCTACTTGGTTTTCCAGTCTTACAAAGCGAGCCAGAGGGCTGTAGTAGTCGTAGTTGGTAGATTGGTGGCGGCAACTCATAAGTCCACGGGACCAGGTAGGCTACTTGATGGTACTTTGAAAAAAATTTCTGACAAGAGGTCTGCGCACTGTACATATCCGTTCAGGAGTTTCAGGAGATACACCACATCTGCTACGTCACGTCTCAGAGCAAGGGGATGGAGTTTCAACGTTTCAGACAGTTCATCAACATGCACCTCCAGGTACACATAGCCAAGTCGAACTCCGACTAGACGAATAAAGCGCCGCTGCGGAAACTCCAGTCTGGTTTTGGCCAGGGCCGTGTAAGGGGACCAGAAAGGGCTGGCGTATTCAAGAAGTTGACGGACGAGTACACAATAGAGTGATCGAAGAGCGATTAAGTTGTTAATTCCTCTTGAGAAACGTGTGATGAAGCCTATCATTTTATCGACTTCAACAAATCCCAAAATCTCGGTGGGTTGTATTAAAGCCCAAGGATTGAGACCCCTACTTCTAATCCATGATGACATTATTGACCTCAACTGCAAGATCTTCCATCATGACATTATTGACCTAAACTGCAAGATCTTCCATCATGACATTATTGACCTCAACTGCAAGATCTTCCATCATGACATTATTGACCTCAACTGCAAGATCTTCCATCATGACATTATTGACCTCAACTGCAAGATCTTCCATCATGACATTATTGACCTCAACTGCAAGATCTTCCATCATGACATTATTGACCTCAACTGCAAGATCTTCCATCATGACATTATGGACCTTAACTGCAAGATCAATAAAATGCAGCATTGAACGAAGTTTCTACAGTTGTGTGAGGCCTCTAATGCAAACTCCAAATTGTTTTCTTATGTTTAGAACTGTGATGGAAATATGCTCAAGTTTCTGATAAATATTACTACAGTTATTAACTACATTTTATAGGCCTATTCTCTTTTATAAAGAACAACTCCCCTGCCGGTTTTACCTTTAGCGTAGCTATTATCAGTGTAGGCCTAGAAGTTAAGTCTTAAAATAGAGCAGAAATAAAAATTCTATAGGTTTCAGTTACCCACAATTTTTTTTCTGTTTTAGACATCATAGGAAGAGATCAAGGAGCAGATCAGTAACCCCAGACCATAAACGCAGTAAATCTTCACGAGATTATGACAAAGATAGATTATCAAGAAGATCAAGAGATAGAGAGCGATTAAGGAGATCATGGAGTAGAGATAGGAAGTAAGTAGGAAGATTACTCAATATGTTTCTAGTTGAGAAAGAAAATAAATAAGCATTACAACTTGGTTGTTTTCATTTTACTCTTAAAAATGATAATGTAGGCCTACCTGTTTTAGAAAAGATAAAAGGGATTCAGAGTCTCGAGGCAAGAGTAAACCAAAGTCTAAACACCGTTCAAGATCTCGTTCTAGATCAAGGTCCAAGTCAAAAGAAAAAAATGACAAGGCAAAGAAGGAAGAGAAAAAAGAAGTTAAAGCAGATGATGAGCCCTTCGACCCAACTAACTTAGACAAGGTACTGAACATTTACATGCTATGTTAATGTTACATTTTAAAAGAGAGGCTATATATAGGCTAACTGAACTTGTTGTGCTTCCTTGCGAACCTATAAGAATTTACCGTACCTAATAGAAAAAACGTATTAGAAAGTTTTTTTACTTGTATTTTTAACAATATGCTTGTCACCAATTTTTATCAAATTGTTCAAGGTTTATGAACAAAGTGTATAAAGATGTAAAATGTAAACCAGTTTCATGCATAATATATGTATTTTGTTGGTTTTAGTCCTTGTAGTTTTCCAGGAGATGATATTAATGTTTGACAGACTTTCAATTCGTCTAAAGTTTTGAGGGAGTATTCCTTTCCACAGGTTGATGAAGATGAGTGGGTCGTAACAGATGTTATTGAAGAACCAGCTGTCGAAGACAATGGAAATATCGAGGTTAGTGTCAAATTTTAACTGTTTTTTGAAGTTTTGTAAAACCAAACTGATACAGAGTAAAAAGTCCATTGATCTAACAAGGATTCTCAGTGCTTTATTAACAAAATGTTCCAATAAGGATTTGAAGTAGCCTATTACCCGATCAACACAGCATTTTTAGTTTCAAAGCAATTTGATAGAATACCTTGCTGTTAGTTTTTTTTCCTACCAAGATAAGTTCTTGCAGAAAAAAGGAGACTTTTTAAGACTTGTGCTTTATGCAAGAAGATGGATGATTCTAAAAATTATCATTAAAATACAATTTAAAAGTTAGTTACATTTGTAGTAACGAATCTTGTAAGGAAGTGGAAATTTGTTTAGTTTCCATTGATAGGCTAACTGTTCTGAAATAATGCATTTTTAAAACTATTTTTGACAAGCATTGACAACAAACATTATTTCCACAGAACATTTTTTCCTTTTCCATTCAAAGCCATCCAAAATTAACTTGGCAACGAGAATTTTCGCCGTGGTGTGAGTTGTAGAAATAACATTAATAATAATAATGGAGAATAAAATAATGGAGCAGACAACAACACAGATCTGATACCGTGATAGAGATTAAATTCAGAATACAGCTGTCGATCGTTACCACAAGGATATAGATTCTGTGTATTCAGATCTAGATTTAAGATTAGCCTTAATAAAATAACCTAAAAAACTAGGCCTACTGATGTAGATCCCTTTTACTGAAATAGCCTTAAAAACTCCAACTATTGAATAACCAAAAAATAACATACCCAAAATGGTCTTACCCCTTAATTTTTTCATTATTCTTTGAAGTTGCCACTTCATTGCTTCACTTTGTATTAATTTATAAATGTTCTATGATGTCGTATCGTGATCTTAATTGCTTATCAGATAAAAGTCCAAAGTTTTTAATTTTTCCAAAATTGATTCTCATTCCATTTGCATAATTGTAGGAAGAATATGATTACGAAGCAGATGAAGATGATCAGTATTCACACAGATCCAACACTACACGAGATAACAGGTAAAATTAGTGTTGATCAGCTTATTTACAAAAAATAGTAGGCCTACCTAGTGATGTTAAATACCTGGGTATTTAAAACTGGGGGTAAATACCCTGGGTATTTACCCGGGTAAATACCCATAATCCAGAAATACCCGGGTATTTTGGGTATTTATGAAATCGATTGAAATTAATTCATATTTACCAATAAATATGTTATTGTTATCATTACATGATAAATTAGGATAGTCTATAACACCTTTTACAGTAACTTGAAGCTTTGCTAGTACCTTTTATTGAATGATTTAGCACTTTTTTGTTATGAAATCAAGACAACACCTCATCGGAGAAATAGTGAACCTAAACCTACTTCTACTGTTATTAAATTATGATAGTTAAAATTTGTATTGTGTAAATGGCTTGGAAGGCTAGACAGACCCAAAGCCTTGGATTGACATAGGCAGAATGGCAGAATACTGAAAGTACAGTAGACTCCCTCTCATCCGGACTCCTCGGGACCGAGGCTAGTCCGGATAACGGGTTTTCCGGTTAAACCGATGTCCCCAAAATTTTTTTTATCACAAGTTTATGAAATTAGTTTTTTTTTTATACCATTGATACCAACAAAAGATCTAGAACAAAAATATTATTAAATCCTGCCATCCTACAGATTGAATTTTAATTATTTTCTTAAGTTGTTTACTCATAGGCCACTACTCGGTTAAATTTTCCTGTTTTTCTAAATAATAACTATTACGTTACAAATTATTTTTCTTCACTTTCAATCAAATAAATTCATCTATCTCTATCATTGAAATTAAAAAAAAATATATAAGTAGTCAGGACCAGTGCAACCATGCGACCAGGGTATTTATGCTTTATGCTCAGACCTGGGTATTTATGGCGATTATACCGAGAAGTAAAATGCTAGTAGTGTCCATATGAAATTTTGTTTTAACACATTTTATTATCATTTTACTATCCTTACAGGGTAATAATTGCAAAAAAACATCTCAATCTTCTCTAACTTTAATACAAATTATAAATACCCAGTTTTTGGGTATTTACCCGGGCCTGGGGTAAATACCCAGGTAAATACCCAATTTATATTTACCTACCCACTGGGTATTTACCCGGCCCACATCACTAGGCCTACCTATGTTATTTCCATTTTAGTTACCTGCTGACCTGTTAAAGCATAATAGCTAACCTCATGATAAATAATACTATTTTTTCATCACACTAGATGATGTTTTAGCTGTTTTACAGGTACGTTAATTGGTAGCTGAAAGTTACATTTTGCTGGCCATGCCAGCTGTCATCGTCATTTGGGGATTGAGCAGGTTTTTACAACATCCCTAGGGCCACAAAATCAGCTGCCCGCTTACTGTCTTAAAACATGAATGCATATTATTAAATACACAATCAGTATCCATAGCATTGCAATAGAATTGTTTAGTGTCACCGTGCTGCCTAGCAACTATTTATTAATATTTTTGCTAATTCCTCAAATTATTTCTTCACATAACCTTGGTTGTAGTTGTGTTGACTATCAGTGTGCATTATTATTGTGGTGAATAGTGGTAATAGGGTATATAGTGTGGTGAAAGATAGTGTTCATACCACGGACTGAAATGGTTTTGCAGCTCTCTATCGTTTAGGTACGAAATATACTATTACTTTCTCCCCCTATACATAGTAAGAAAAAAGTATTGTTTTCATAAAAATTTTTGAGTTTCAGTTTTGGGTTCTCTGAACCCAAAAAAGTGGTTTTTGAAGTGATGTTTGTGTGTGTGTGTCTGTCTGTACACGTACGTGTGGATGTGAACAGAGCTACAGACTACACCTGAGGTCCAATTTTGATGACATTTGGTATACGGGTACTAATGCATGGTATCTGTAGGTGTTTTTTTTATATTTGTATTGTGATTTTTACATAAAAACATATAAAATTAAAAAAAATCATTTTTTCAAAAACGGTTTGAAAGATTTTGATTAAAATTTAGTTTGTTATAGGGCATCTATCAAATAACATATTTGAGTCAAAGTTTATCGTGAGGGGATGTTTTTAGTGGCTATAAATTTCAAAGCTCTCTAAAACGTTCCTGAGTGGGCCTTTAATACAATTGTGTAGGATCTGTAAATTATTTTTGCAACTATTGATGTTGTGATTGGCGTTTAAAAAATTTGCTGCAAATTTAGGGCGTTGCTCTGATAATTTTGGTTGGAGGGGTGTTCCTTAAATCTGGTTTTGAAAGAGTGTCCTGATTGGCATATATACAATATAGAGAAAAGTAGGGTTAAAACCTTGGAAAAATTACTTTATGTAGTAGAGTCCTGCAAACTCGGCACTTGATAACCCGGCAGTCTGGATAACTCAGCCATCACCTCCACATTGGCTCAGAAAAATGTGATTTTTTTGAGTGCGAGTTAAACATGGACTCTAATCATTCACAGCTGCTCGTACCAAGGATTTGTTTTATTATAATGACTTAATACTAACTTGTAAATATAAATAATAAATATAAATAAAAGAGGCAGTTAATAAGCTTAAAAATTGTATTGTTGTTATTTTTAACCCTAGTTCCCGATAACCCGTCATTTCACAAACTTGGCACCCTTCCAGTCCACATTACGCCGAGTTTGCGGGACTCTACTGTATTAGTGTGGTGAATTGTTGGAAGTAGAGAACTTAATTATGTTATTTTTATTTTTGTATTTTGTATTTTTAATGTGTGTGTTTGAGTAAAGAGTCCATGGTAATTCAGTTTTTATTTTATATGCAGCCCTACTAATGATGGAACAACAGAAACTCGTGATGAAGATGAAAATGAACAGGCTCCTACAAATGAAAAAGAAGGAAAGGAAGGTGAAGCCGAAGATAATAAAAAAGAGGAGACCGAGAAAACTCCTGAAGAAAATGTAAAAAGCACAGAAAAAGACATTAAAGACAGCATATCTCGTCATAGAAACAACTTGCGAGAACATACATCAAGGCATAGGTCTGACAGATCTAGTAGGGCAAGAGATTCTTACCGAAGCAGGTGTGTTTAAAAATAAACAGTTAAATTTATATTGACGTTTGTGTTGAATGACTTTGGTAAGTTATAACATTATGTTAACAACGTAGCTGTTCAAAGACCAATTGATATTGATTTCCCAATCATCCTGGAAAACCCAAAATTTTGACAGTGGAAAACTAAAATTCTATGCCTGGATTTTTATTTTTGTCCCGAAATTATTAATTTCGCTACGACATTACTACCAAACTTGTTTGTATAGGTTTTCAAAAATGAATTCATAGACATAAGAAGGATCATGCTAGGAGGTTTTAGAACTGGAGAAAGGAATTTTTGAAATAAATCTGTCAGAGATATCTTGTTGTATCATAACCTAACCTTAATTAAGGTATATTAAAAATGTTGGCCTAACAAGCTGAGAATAACTTTTGTAATAGTAATGTGTTGTTTGCAATAAGGTGGTTGGTTTTTGTTGAAACAAAATCTTTGTCCTTACTTAACATACAGTAGACTCCCTCTTATCCGGACTCCTCGGGACCGAGGCCAGTCCATTGTTGTCCACAGTTGTTTCAGTACCGCCCACTTTCTGCCGATCTACATAGTTCGGTTAAACCATTGTGCTGATAAAAATTGTCCAGTTAAAGAGATGTCATTTCCGCCGAGTGTAGTCCGGTTAAAAGGTGTCCGGATAAGAGGGGGTCTCTACTGTAGCAAATTCCTCAACAATCCCTTAATAAATTAATACAATATGATTTTTAACAAATGGTGTAAACGTAAATTAATGTTTAAATAATCTTGTTTTAGGCATCACAGTAGAAATCGTGTTTCAGAAGAAGTGGAGAGACTAACTAAAGATCATCTCCGACAATGGATAAAACTTGATAAAGAACTTTACGAACTCAAAATAAAGCATGAACTGAAACGTTTTAAAACAGAAATGGATGTTTTGCAAGCTCAGCTTGAATATTGGAAAAATAAAACCTGATTTCTCAGAACATTATGGTACTTAACCTAGTTTTATTTTTTTAAGTGTAACATAATGTTATTGTGAATTTCAATTATGTTTTTACAAATGTGTGTTATTTAAGTTTAAGCCTTTTAAGTAGGGTGTTTGGGGGTAACCTATTATAGTTTTTTAGAGCTTGTTATTTCAGAGCCCCCTGAAGCCACATCTAGCTTGTCTAAGTTATCAAGCATGGGAATCTGTTTATTATTCATGAAATCAATATCACCAAACTGAATACTGTATGAAATGTTTACGGGCCAAATTTATATTATTATCAATACACCTATAAAATAAAAAAAGTCTGTAGTCATAAATATCGCGAGGAATAACTAACATCTGTGCTAGATTGAAATGGCAAAAATTAACTGATCTAATTACAGTAGAACTCCGACTGTCCAAACTCCAAATCGATAAGCCGAATCGCTTATGGAAAGAATTAAACTTTCCTGTGGTCGCCATTTCAAAGTGAAGTATACAGTATTAAACAAATGTAAATTCAAAGTTATTGGAATCATTGTTAAAAAAGGCAGAAGCCGTGATTCAACAAATCCAAAAACTCTCTTGCTGTTCTTTTTTTATCGTCTCCTGCGGTCACAAAAATGTCGTCATCATTTTCACGATCGCAGCAAAATCTTGAACAATCTTCAGTGGTCTTGTATACATCATCATTGTCACCCGTGTTAACGGAAACAACATAATTGATTGATTGGTTGATCTCCCGAGATGACAGAAACATTATCATCTGTGACCGCGGAAAAATGTAAAAATATACCCACAGTTGTGTGGATATGATAATGGTCTCCGGCAGTCATGGAAACTAATCGTCATTTTCCACTATCCCGACAAAATCCTGTACATCCTTGTGATCTTGTGACATAATTTTTATCTCCCGCGGTAATGGTAAATGATAATTGTCCTCCGCAATCGCAGGGAAAGCTTGAATTCTTTGATGGCGAAATCTTCGCAGGCGTGTTCTGTGGTCATAATTTGTTAAAGCTCGGCTTATCTCAGTAAAATACCTCAAATTTCGGTGAATATACAATTATCCAAATTTTTTATTATCCGAATGTGTGAATGTGTTACTGCCAAATTGGTTTGGATAACTTGAGTTCTACTGTAACATGTATGATACAACTGTTGGTCAACAAACTCCAATACAAGTTTAAGTTGTATTAAACTCCAATTTTTGAAAAAGTACAAGTAAATTCTTTATAGGGATGGACGGGATTGAATTTTTAGTTTGGGACGGGACAGGATTTTTATTTCTTTCCCAATTTTCAGGACGGGACGGGATTTTTTCCTGTGCAAAAAAGGGGTTGTTTTAAAAGTCTTGAGTACCTATTGCAGTTACCAAAAAAGGAAAAAAAAATCAATTTTTACCGTTTGTGGCACTGATCTATAAAAACCAATAATGGATAAAAATTTACAGGTATAAAAAATTGTTGTGACTATATAATTTCATATATCTGGTGCAATTTTACTGTAAAACATCAGTCTCATTATAAAATTACAGGTATTGAAACAGACTATCACTCACTGCATCGTCGAAATGACTTACGGTCAAGGCGCAATGGTCGAAATGACTCGCAGTCACGGCGCGATCGTCGTAATGACTCACGGTCATAGCGCGATTGTTGAAATGATTTTGCCTCTTACGTTCGCAGAACTACCGAAATTTCGGGACCCGTCCGTCTCTAATTCTTTACATAAGTAAAAAATCCATGCTCAGTGTAGAAGCTATTATATGTCACTTCAAAGGGGCTATAAAACAGGAAATACTTGGGCCAAAAACACACTCAATTAGCTTAAAATTGTTTAGTCTAAACAATATTTTAACAAATTTGAATTGTTCTTTACATTACATTATTATCTGTAACCAATTGTTTTAATCTTATTAAAAGAAATAAAGACATTGCAATATCTCCAATGTTATCTGCATAGACTATTATTGTTCAGGAAACCTAAGCCATATTTAGCATTTATTATAGTTGTAGTAATATTGAAAAAATTAAAAATGTATTCATCCAATTAGCTCACTGTAAATCTGTTTAGCCTGTAGGGGTTATATCTTTCCTATCTAAAATAAAGATTATTTAGATTTTCTAAACTGTTAGTAGCAATTTTTCAAATAAATCTTTTGTTACCAGTGACTTTCTTGTTGATTTTCTTTTATTTACACTAAACTACTATTTAATTGTGTTTTATGTGCACAAATAATTTCAAGAGTAAAAGTTTTAGATTTTGCCGTGAATGTAAATAAAATGTTGGTTCAAGTGTAAATAGTTAATTTAAATCAGAACACTCACAATAGTCGCATTGAGAAATAAATCCACAGATGTACTTCAACCTGCCAACATCACTGTAGCTGGTGGATTTACCGCATGTGTTATGGCAGCACTCCATCAAATCTGAACATCATTGGACATTCTTTCTGAGGCTGAGACTTGCAACTGATGGAAGAATTCTCTCTCTACCTGCCTCCAATGTCAAATAAGATGCTTAGCTATTTTCATAGATTTTTTACTGGTCTGTCACATATCTGCAAAAATTCTACACTTTTACGTAATATTATTTAATGCCTTCATTTTGCTAATGGTAAAATTTCACTATTATTCTCTTCAAAATGAACTCATTTAATTCAACTCTAGTCTAGCCTTATTAAAAATGAATTGTAAAAATAAAATAAAAACTACTTAACATGTATAGTCCAAGTGATGATTTTCAATATCCTATAGTTGAAGGACCGTTTTTAAGAAAATACTCTACTCTTTACCCTAAAAAAAATTAATTTTAATTTGCTGCAGCTAAATAAAAAAACTACTTTTAAAACCTTCCTGTTTAACTGTTATCCTATGACCAAGGAGTTTAAATAACACCACTTTATAAATTGTGTTGATAGATTCCTTTTTTCAATTTTTTCCTCCAATTATCATACATTGAAACATTATAATGGTGTACAAATATTTTGTATGAAAGCATATTCTATGTATTTCAAGAGTGATTCCAGTTCCACAGATCCTTGTCAAGATTATTCAACTAGATTCTACAATACAACTTTGTAGCGGGAACTTCTCAACAGACGTCCCAGTCGCAGTAAGAACAAGTTGATGAGTCGTCCTCCAAGATGGCGCTTCTCTATCCAGCTCAGCTGATCCACTCCAAGTCCTTGTCTCAGCTGGTGAGCTTGAGGTAGACTCAGTCGAGATTGTCCGAGGTAACCTGCCACTCTGCTAGGTTCTGCCTTGCAGTTGACGTCTGACAGCCACACATCTTCAGAATCAAGAGGATTCCTGGGGATGAAGATGTCGCTATGGAATTCTCTGGATCACTTACATTAAGATCCTAGAACAGTAGTACGTTAGTTTAATTGGTGACAAGCATAAATCTTTTCGTTAATAATTTGAATGTACTCTTTAGGTGTCATTAGTCCTGTTGCAAGCTCTTTTAAGGCTTTGAAAATATTTGTTACTATGCCAATGTTAATGATGATTTCTTTAGGGAACCATTTTTTATCTTTAGTCGATTAAAATATTTGAGTAAATATTATAAATGTTGGGACTATACTAGGTATCATCGAATGGTGAAGGGAATTAATTTTTTAATTGATTTTTTAATTCTAAAAAAAACTTGTTATCTTTTATTGATGAGAACATTTTATTGGTGCCATTGTATTTCAATAAATTGGTTATATTTAAAAAGAATTTACATTTTTATAAATTGATGTCTCAGGTCATTAATGGTTTTAAAATTTTAACTCTCAATATAATGTGGGTATTTTTTCAACAGGAAGAAGAACAGAAAAGGCTTGAACTTGAAATGCAAAAGAGAAGAGAAAGGATAGAAAGGTGGCGAGCAGAACGCAAAAAGAAAGAATTGGAGCAAGTGAAAAAGGATATGAAAAATTCACTCGGTAAGGGAATTATAAAACATTGTTAAACAGTGGTACGTTTTAAGTATATACAGGGTGTCTAGTAGTCGCGAAAAACGGGAAAGTCGGGAATTAGTATTTAATTTCAAAATAGTCTGGAATTTTCATGATTTGTCACGGCCATCATAGACGTCGATGATGACGTTTCCGTGGCCATGGGAGTCAATGATGATATCTACATGGCCGCGGGAAGTAATTATAATTTTGCCGCGATCGTGGACACCGACGACGACGTTTCTGAGACCAACGGGTGGCGTCGTCCTGTAATCCAGCTACTTGGAGGTCACGGATTGTGGATATTTATAGGCATGCACTGTGGATGGGATACTCCCTGGTGTGGATTAACGTCCGCACTAGAGAGTACTACTACTATCCGCAGTACTATCCTGATAATTAGACCAATTCGTATATACCAAGGAAAAAATGTGGTTCGAATTCCACTATAAACTGTAGGTCTCTTAGTTGCCATTAGCTGTTTGGGCTATTAATTAACAGCTGTGTCTAAGGAATGTCGGCCTTAGTCACTAACAAGACTACAAGATCGCGCCACTCATCCTACACTCATCTCCATTCATACTTGGCTTAAAATACCTACATAGTATGGTCGCCATTTCATAAGAAAGTATAAAGTATAAAGTACCACGGGAGACGACGTTGACGTTTCCGTGACCGAGGGAGACGACGATGATGTCTACACGGTTGCGGGAAATGTTTTTAATTTTGCCGCGATGGCGGACGATGACGTTTACGTGTCCGCGGCAGTCAATGATGTTGTCTACTTGGTCGTGGAAGATTTTCATCATCCAATGGCTAGTAAGAATTTTTCATTGCTGCATTTTTTTCATTTCTTAAAAAAACACCCCATTATTTTAATAATACTTAATGACATAAAGACAGGGGTTGGTGTAGAATTCAAATATTTGGTTAAATTAAATTATAAAAATTGGTATCGGTATCAAGAATTGAGAATCGATACATTTTAATTTCAACATAACTTATCACTAATTGTTGAAAAAACTAGTCTTGAAAAGTCTGTAATATGGTTTTCGTTTTCACCATTCACCTGTCTAGCCAAAAAATTTATAGACTTCAACTTATTCTGTTACACTGCCTAGCCATAAGTGAACCAAATATACCATTTACATTGGATACTGCAAGTATTTAATCCCATTTAAGAGGAACAGATGTAGGATTGTCTTTAGAAAAGTATTGAATTAATATGCCTGCTCCGCTCAATATTGCAAGCAGACAACTGCATTGTACACCTAGTTCCATATCTGATCACATAATCCTTGAAACATTACCAATTTAATTTTAAACAGTATGATTTAAATTGGATTTCTGTAAAAATATTAAGTTTTTTTAAACCCATATCCGGATCTGGTACCGACATTTTCTTGGATCCGCCCATCACTAATTCAAACCCAGTTTTGAAAAAAAATAAATTGTTATATTTTTAATTATTGTAAAAGCTTAAACAAAGCTAACTATAAAAAAAAGTAAAAGATGCGACGCGATGTTCTGCACTGGAAAAAAAATATATTAAAAGTGCAGCACACTCCTAGGGGGTCGTTGCTGACTACGCAACTCGGGCTTCGTCCTAACTATCCAATAGTTAAGCCCAGAGTGCCTAAAATACGGTGAGTTACACGACGACTTGCCAATAAAACCACAACGCGAGTTATCACCAGGCGGGGTCTACCAGGCCACTATAATCCAATACACAACTCTATTGCCCAAGCTAACAATCAAACAGTTCACTCAATAATAATACCAGATAACAATACAAGTGCACTATAGGTAGAGTGACTACACCACTAGTAGCTGGTCTCAATAAATACCAAGCCAAACAAGCAAAGCTAAATGGCAATTGCACTACTATTAAATTATTGAGCTACTTAGTAGCAGATAAATAAATATTAAATACGTTCCAAACACTAGATAAATATATTATCTGATAGCCGGTACTCCGCTATCCAAGCTACCAAGATAACGTGTTGGATTACCAAATAAGCTGTTCAGGTTAAATTAAAATAATCAAATGAATAAACAATAACAACCCTACTACTGCTACTGCTACTACCAACTTTATGTTACTTAGCTGGGCTTCTGTTAATAGGCTAATAATATTAGCTACTAGCCTACTGGCCACGTGCTTCTAACTACGCACGCTAAATCGTGCAGCCTAGGTTTGTCGGGCCTCAGAGTTATTAGTAATATAACTAACTCTTGGTACAACGCAAAATAATAACTCCTACAGTCAATAAATTATATTATTTGCGCTCCAGCACCTGCCCAGAACCGTCAGGAATACACTTTAATATTATTCCTGACTAATATAAATCCTAACTACCGTCAGGCTTTGACCAGCACGGTTAACTAACTCTCGCAATCAAATCAGATATTAATATTATCAACTCTTAAACCAAAATGTAAGGAACGTCGTCCACTCACCAATAGTGGGTCTGTACCCAACTTACACCAATACTCGGCGCGATCACACCACCAACGTACTCCGACACCACTGTCACGTACACTCCTCTCTACCACGTACACCGTACACCACCGACGTATCCCAGTCGTCTCCACAAGACACCACACTATCCTCACTGTCCGGGATCCACGACTCGAATGTCCTTCTCGGCTATCCAGTAGTCCCAGGATACCCAAGCTTATCCGAACTGATAAGCCGGGTCAAAGGGCGCCAGCCAGGTTCGCCGCCGCCGCTTGCTTACCTCAACAGACGCGCGGCCCAAATAGCAAATATTTACCCCCCTAGGAAAAATAACTCGTTACAAAGAATAAATATTTTCTATAATAAAAAAAAATTTAATGGTTTGAGCAGGTGTTTTTGTTTTATAAATTGTTTAAGTCAGGTGTGGTCTGAAAGTTAAAACATTATTGATTGTATTTTCTAATTCAAACGTAATTTAATAAGTAATATGGTTCACATTGTATTTAATTGGGATACTAATGTAACTAGCCACTAACTAAACAGAACTGATCACTAAACGTGGGAATGTGTGTAAGTGGTGAAACTCATGCCACAATTCTAGTTTATTGGGCGAGTAATTACGATTCATCTACAAATATTTGATGAAAGATATTTATAGATTGCTTATAATATAATATTTGTTTAAAAAATAAAACCTGATCAAAGAAACCCAAATTTAGGGGTGTGCGATGCATCGAAAATGGATCGAAATTTCGATTCGATTCGATTCGATGCATCGAATCGCGATTCGATTCAGTGGTGGTCAAAAAACGATTCGATTCATGAGGGAGTCAGTATCCATATACGAAAAACGCCTGCAGAAAGTCAATGCAATACCCGCAATACAGGAGCGCGTTGCTGTTGCGGTTCCTTTACGAAGGCGTTCTTATTTAATACATTCTTTGCATTAAATATAACTTTAATTGTTTTATATTTTTTTGTTTTGACATTGCAAATGATGAGAGGTTTTGTTTTTTGTCTTGATGTAAGCAGTGTGAAAAATATTTTACTACTGTAAACCTAGCCAAAACAAGATAGGTTACTCCAAAATCATTTTAAAAATAAGTCTGAAAAATTGTTACTTAATACTTAACTAGTAAGATTAATGTTATAGACTGATACATTTGGTATTTTTGTTAGGGGCTGCCGATCCCCGAATGTTCGGGCAAAAGAAAAAAAAGAACAATTTATTTCCAATGAAACACTCTTATATTATTATATCTATTATTACAGAGGAATTAAAATGTTCAAATGAGAATTAAAGATTAAGTTGGCTCACGACCTAAAGACACAACGGAGCAATTGCCGCACTGCCACTAGCCAGAGCCAGTCTAGTCGTCTACTGACAAGAGTGACAAGACAAAAGCCGTGATGCAACACTAACAGTGCAAAGAAAACAAAGTCAAAAGAATAGAAAGACTATTTATCCAGACATACTAGTTTAATCATTTATTGTTTATTCCATACCTAATAAAAAATATATTTTAGTATTTTACATAATAAATTATAAACAAAAGAAATATCTGATAATAGTGAACAGATCTGTATCTTGGTTAGATGGGATTAAAAAAATATATTTCTAAGATCCAATACAATATTTACAACTCACAAATTACAATGAATTAATTTCTTTGAAAATGATCTGTAACAGTTTTGTGTTTTTGAATAAAGAAATATATTTTTTTGTCTCTACTTCCTTGTTTCATCACTTGAATTTTGTCAGCAATTGAAGCAACTGGGTAGCAACCGGGTTGTGTAAGAGGGGAGGGGGAGGGTCTATGACCTTGAATGCACACATCGTTGCCCGGGCCTGGCTGTTGAGAGCGGTTCATTGTTTTTGTTGACATACTACTACCCTTCCTTCAGAGAAAAAGACCCTGCTGTTCCAAAAACATTTTGGGTAGTTTAAAAACATTGACCTGTTGTCCAAGGGCACTAGAAGTTAGCATTTAACTTTCTTATCTCTTAATTTAATATTATTTTAATCTTCTATATATTATTTAAGAGTTACTTTTCGGGTACCTAATTAATTGTGATATTGTTTGGCTTTATTTTATGGATTTTTAATTCTTTTCATTCATTAGCTATCAAAATCAGTTGTTTTAGGATTTTAATCTCGTGCAGTAGGTCTATACTACTGTATGACATGATATGCATTTTTTACAGTCCTTAATAATTATACCATAAACAACGTTTGTGTGTTATTTACTGTTTTTGAGTTTTATAGTAAATTAGTTTACACAATATCTTTTCTTCAATGAGTTCTCCACTTGTCATGTTGCTTAGCCTATTACTATTTTAGGCCCTATAAAAATAATGCCTATGTAAAGCTGTAGGCCTACTCATGCCAATAATAGATAATTCTTTATTTATGATGATGTAACAAATAATGTAAGTGTGAGGTTATTATACTAAGGAAGTTAGGTAGGGAATGAATGATACATATTGCATGGTGGAAACATATTATTTTTATTTTCTTCTTGCTTGCAGTCCTGAAGCCGGTCCACAGGCCCTAAACTTGTGATATGTAAATTTATTTCTTAATTGTCTTTTTATATTAAGTTCCATTCAAATTTGTTGTAATTTAGCTACCGGTACCTATTTAGTTATTTAAACAGTTATTAAAATGAGAATGAATGTCTTGATAAAAAAAAATATTATCTTCTTTCTTGCAGTTGAGCCAATTCCAAGTAAAAATTATGAAATAGGGAAGTAAAGCAGCTCACTGGTATTTCCAGCAATACAGGTTATTCTAATCCCTATGATTGAAAATAAAATTTTTTCACCTAAAATTCATATGTTAAGTATGAATAGGCCTACCACATCAACAAAAATTTGTATTACACAAATGTGGTAAATTTTAATTATTGTTAATCCACTCAATTGACAATTATGAATAGAAAAATACCGTATTGCTTCGAATCGAGTTGCATCGAATCGAATCGAAAATCTTTTGAATCGAATCGTTGCTTCGAATCGAAAATTTTTTGCTGCTTCGCACACCCCTACCCAAATTTAATCATTTTGTATTCACCCTGTCACCCACGTAGGATATTTGCAACAACAGTTTTATTTTCTCCAATAAGTTCCGTCCCCCAGAGCCTTCCGCCCTAGAGCGACTGCCTCACGGTCCCTATGCCACTGATCTTTTATATAATTTTAATGAAATGGCTTGATATTTCATTTTGGACATTATCATTATAGTATTCACGTTCTCGGTCTAATTTGCATTAACTGCAATATTTATTTTTAAAAAATATTGACACTTTTTTAAATTCCAGCAAACCTGCAACTTCCATCAAAAAAGTGGAACCTGGAAGATGACAGTGATGAAGAGGACGAAGCCAAGACAGAAGGCAAAGCTGACGAAGTAGAGGAAGTTGATACACTTGATGCCTTCATGCAGGTAATCAGGGAAAATGATTAACCTACTCATTTTCTTGTGTGTAACTAATAAGTGGTGTCAAAACCGAATCACAAAAATCAAATCTCAAACCCATTAATACTTTGGAAAAGTTTTGGTTTCGAAATTCGATCGGCAAGTTCAAGATTTTAAAAGTTTATAAATTTAAAAAAATTGGCAATTTTTTTTACTGCTGGCATTTTTTTGTGTCATTCATATTATTTATTACAACATTGTTTACACACAATTTGTGACGTAATTGTCTATGTTTATTATCCATACCGTTTGCAGTTCTAATATCCTTGATAATTACCCACCCTCGTTGAATCTATTTAAATCATAATTTCCCATATTCATTTATTCAAACTATATTTAGTTGAACTAAACGTGATATTTTGCCTACGCTTCACTGCTCCCCCAAAACGTAACCACACATGACACACGCCAAACAATTTTTTAGATTTCATAAAAGTATGGTACATGTTCAATTACAGTGTATCCTAGGTCAATGATAATCCTAGTTGTATAAAAATATGTCATCCGTTTGTCTCTGGATGAAATGTCTTTTTAATGTCTTTTTCAAAACGTTTATAAAAATGTATTGTGTTTATATGTTTGTTTTCCCAAAGATTATGTCTGGGAAACGGAGTACCCTGTTAATACTTTTAGTGGATTACTGATCAAGTCAATGACTTTGATTGAGGGAACTATATTATAGATGTGAAAGTTTAGAGTATGTCAAAAACGTGAAAACTACTTGACCAATTGAGCAGATTTTTTCCCATTAATATGGCCAATATATGACAGGCTTAATGGGCATAGTCATGTGTGTGGACATTTACTTTTGAGTTAACAACTTTTCATAGATGAGATCTATAGAACATAATATTATCTTTAGTGTTCTCTTCCCGTTGCGAAGCACAGGTAGGGGGACTAGTATTTTCTACAATTAAACTTTTTCCTTTTGCATACTTAAATACCTAAGTCAAACATTGCCACCTTATATTTTCAAAATTTTCACTTCTTGTTGCCCCTTAATTGTGACTGGCTTAGTCTCAATCTTGGTGAGGTCATACTTAAAAAGTTAGACTCAATTGCAAAACACATTATAGGCCTTGAGTGTCATAATGAATATTACGACACACCTTGCAAGGAATTAGTCCTTGCAAACTATTTGATCTATTTAATAGACCCGACCGACCCTTTTGAACTAGGAACCTGTTGTTTATAGGATTTACATTTTATTTTTATAGGAATAATTTTATAGGAATTTTTATAGGAAGTACAAGAAGAAGTTAGAAAAGTAAACAAAATGGACAGTATAAAATCAGGGACAGAAAAGGGACTACCTCCTCCCCAGCCGGGATCAGGAGTGACGATTGTTACTGGGGTTGCTAAGAAGAAAGCTACTGAAAAGAGGAAAGGAGAGCTGATAGAGCAGAATCAAGATGGACTAGAGGTAAAACCCAACAAATTCTGTAGAGTAGATTTACTGTTTGTTTTATTTAGAACGATTCCAGGTGGTAGAATGTGCATGAATTTAGAGTTAAAGTTAAGTTAAGCTAAAATTCTCATATATAGTCATTTATAATCATAAATAATGTGTTTAATCTTACTCCTAATCAACAAATATTCTCAATATTTTTACCATTGATTTTTAAGCTTTAGTTTATTTCTGTTGTTAAAAAAAGCTGTAATAGGTTTATATGAGTGATTGATTTGATGTCATATTATTAAAGAAAAGTCAGTTTATTATCATCAAATAAAAAACCTTTATTAAGTTTGGTAGGAATAGTCCAAAAACTGTTAGGTAATGATAATATTAATTAAATGTATAATTAAATTTATAAGCTCAACAGGGCCAATATAAAATAATATTATTTCATTCACAATAATAAAATATCATTTTTTTTATGTCATTTTATTGTGAATAAAATAAAATCTTACTAATATTATAAATGTGAAAGTTTGTGTGTTTGTTTGTTTATTTGTTTATTTGTTTGTTTGTTTGTTTGTTTGAAGTTCAATCACGCATTAATTACTGGACGGATTGGGCTGAAATTTGGCATGATGATAGCTCACATTCCCGATTAACATATAGGCATATTCTTATCTCAAAAATCCTTTCGGGCTCCGCCCCAGTGGCTCTAGAGTTTCCCATGTTAACCTTATGAGTACTCATATTTAAATGGAATTAAAGAATTTAGTCAGCTGTTTCAACTAAAAAGGTTGGTTCTATGATATGCAAAAGCATAAAAAGTTATATGATTTACCAACTAGGGTAAATCAATAGGGTGCAGCACTATTTTTTTGCATTTATGAAAGAAAACAGCTAATTTGAACTAAGCAGCAACAAAAAACTGTGATAAACAATGAGAACTGACTGTTTACAGTTATGTTTATGTTTATAATTTCACGAATAATTTGTGATATTATGTGAATCTAAATAATTTTCTTCTATTGTTTGGGTGAAGTGGTAGAACATTATGGCTATGGTAGATGTATAATACTACTAGCTGTACCCGCAGGCTTTGCCCCGTTTAACTTCATAAGTATTCGCATGGCTCATTCACGTCCTGGTTGAAGTTCGTTCGTTACGCTAACTCACCTTTAGGTTGGAGCTCGTTCGCTGCGCTCACTTGCCTTCAGGTTAGCTCGTTCGCTACGCTAACTCGCCTTTAGGTTGAAGTTCGTTCGCTACGCTCACTCACCTTTTGGTTGGAAATTAGCTGTTGTCATAAATAAATAAAAAAAAAAATAGTGCTGCACCCTGTTGGTAATCCTTGTAACTTTGAACATCATAGAACAGAACCAACTTGTTTAATTGAAACAGCTGTTAAGATTCATTAATTCCTTTTAAATATGAAAAATCATAAGGTTAACATGGGGAACTACAGAGCCACTGGGGCGGAGCCCGAAAGGATTTTTGAGATAAGAATATGCTTTAATGTTAATCGGGAATGTGAGCTATCATCATGCCAAATTTCAGCCCAATCCGTCAAGTAGTTTATGCGTGATTGAGCAACACACACACACACACAAACACACACACAAACTCACAAACTTTCAGATTTATAATATTAGTAAGATTATAGCATACCATAAATTTAAAGAAGTAAATTTTATCATACTGTGTCCTCCCCCATCACAAACGCAAAGGTTGAGTATAACTGCACTAAGCATTTCATACTTATTTGCCAATCCCGTACGAAGGACGGGTACTCTGCTAGTATAATATTATAAATGTGAAAGTTTGTGTGTTTGAAGTTCAATCACGCATAAACCACTTGACGGATTGGGCTGAAATTTGGCATGATGATAGCTTACATTCCCGATTAACATATAGGCATATTCAGGGCCGCCCCGAGGGCGGGGCGAGCGGGGCGACCGCCCTGGGCGCCGCGGCTAGGGGGGCGCCGCGGCTTTGGTAGGTAAAAAATTTAACAACGTTATCGGCAAACAGCGAACGAATATTTTCCGGGAACTCGTAAACATGTAATCAATGACAATGACTATTTAAAAAAGACAATATTTAGCTTTCGTTTTCGTTTTATTCGTAAAATTAATACTGTTATTTAATATACAACTCGTACTATTACTAGGCCTACTTTTACGTCTGCCGTGTTGGCAATACTGCGAGTCCGAGACATACACACTGCGCATTCACCCACACGCACCTACACTTGCTCGTTTCTAACCTCAAATTTAGTTCAGTGTAGTTGAGTTAGTCTATGGTAGTTGTTACGTTACGATTAGCTCAGTGGTTGTGCAAACTTGAACTGTTAATAAAGACGTGGTTTTGACGATAAGTACAACATGTAACAGTGATATTTCCTTAGGCCTATAGTAGGATTACTACAAAGTGAATGACTGTTTTAAATAACGATGTCTAAAAAACTTTCTGGAGCGCAAAGACGCAAGTTAGTTCGAGAAGAGGAGGCTGCGACTGAAGCACTTCTGAAAAAAGTCCCAAAGCTTACATCCTATTTTGCTCCTTCCAGTTCTTCGGCGGTAATAATTAGTGAGCCTGAACATGTCTCAGTAAACGTGAGTACACCTAATGAAGTCCTTCCAGATTCAGTTTCGATTGAAGAAAATATTAATGAGAATGAAAAGTTGTCGATTTCATCTCCTAAAACCGTCAACGTAGGCCTAATCAATTCAGATCCATCCTCTTGGCCAGATATCATTAATAGAGATGAAAGAGACGAGTTAATTTTAAAAGGGCCTATACCATTAAAGGCTGATAATGATTATCCAAAAAATGCCCAAAAGAGACATTTTTCTAATGAACACCAATTTCGATGTGCGGAAAATGGGGAAAAGGTAAAACGCAAATGGTTGGTGTATTCTGAAGGCACCAACTCAGTATACTGCTTCTGTTGCCGACTTTTCGAGCCTAATTCAAAGTCACAACTTGGTCAAAAGTCAGGTTTTAATGATTGGAAACACCTGGCAGAGCGACTTCGTTTACACGAAACCACACCAGAGCATTTCAAAACTATGACTATCTGGTTTGAAGCCGAGCTACGTCTAAAAAAATGTATTTCGGTGAATCATGCTCTATCGGACCAAATTAGGAGAGAGACAGAAAGATGGCAGGAAGTTTTTAAGCGCCTTGTCGCTATAATCTTATATTTGGCAGAACATAATATCGCTTTTCGAGGGTCATCTTCAAAGCTATTTACTAAGAATAACGGCAATTACTTAGGTCTGATCGAGCTGATAGGACAATTCGATGGTGTCATGTCAGATCACTTGCGAAGGGTAACTAGTGCCTCCTCCCAAGTGACTCTTCTAGGAAATAATATTCAAAACGAGCTAATTTGTCTTTTGGGATCTGAAGTAAAGAAGGCTACAATCAGAAAAATAAATAAATCCAAGTATTTTTCTGTAATCTTGGACAGCACTCCAGATATAACCCATAAAGACCAGATATCTCTCACAATCCGATATGTAACAGAACAAGATGGAATAAGTGGTGATGTGGCCGTTGAAGAAAGTTTTATTGGATATAAAGTGGCAAAAGAATCAACTGGAGAAGCTCTCTCAGAGCTGTTGTTCGCTGAAATTGAAAGTTGCCATTTAAACATGAATGACTGCCGAGGACAAGCTTATGACAACGGTGCTAATATGGCTGGTGTAAACAAAGGTGTCCAGGCTAGAGTCTTAAAAGAATATCCTCGTGCTTCGTTTACACCGTGTACCAGTCACAGTTTGAATCTGGTAATATCTGATGGTGCAAAGTCGTCTGTTAAGTCAACCTCACTGTTTGGAATAATTCAGAAGATCTACACTATATTTGCGGGATCGACAAAACGCTATTGTATAGTGAGTGAACACGTCCAATCACTAACTATTAAACAAGTTTGTGAAACTCGCTGGGAAGCGAGGATTTCTTCCATTCAGGCTATCAGGTACCAGTATGCTGACGTTAGACAAGCATTAATTGAACTTGCAGACAGTGTTGAAGACCCTAAAACAGCATCAGAAGCTCAGTCTCTGATATCGCATATGGAAGATTTTTCTTTCTTGACTTGTTTAATTGTTTGGCACGACCTTCTGTTTCAAGTTAATCTTGTAAGCAAAACATTACAAGGGAAAATGACTGATTTAACATCAGCCAAAAGGCTGCTTGATAATTGCCAAGCCTTCCTAGGGTCTTTTCGAGAATCAGGGCTTGTAGATGCAATCATTTGTGCCAAGGAGATTGCCGAAAGTATTGGAACTGAGCCCGTTTTCCCGAAAAAGCCTTTAAGGAAGAAAAAGAAACAGTTTTCTTATGAAGGGCCAGATGAAATTAACGGTACTCCACAGGAACTCTTTAATAGGGATGTATTTTTGCCCCTTGTTGATAGTGTAACCACATCTCTTACTGAACGTACTGAACAGCTGAAAAAGCACCATTCTTTATGGAGCTTTTTGTATGACCTTAGCAAGTTGCCAGAAAAAGAGGAGTTGAAGAAGTGTTGCCTGAAACTTCAAGAATTTCTTACATTTGATAACATTAGTGACATAAACGGAAATGACTTGTATAATGAAATTATCCACGTGAAAAGCATCGTTCATGATGAACATAAAACAAATGAAGCGTTATCTCCCATCAAGGTGCTAAAGAGTATTATGTCACATGACCAAAAAGATCTATTTACAAACTTGTGGATTGCTCTAAGGATATTGCTGACCATCCCCCTAACTGTAGCAAGTGCTGAACGAAGTTTTAGCAAGTTAAAACTCATCAAGACGTATCTGCGATCCACTATGACGCAAGAAAAGCTGAATGCATTGGCAATTTTATCGATAGAAAATGAGGCGGCAAAACAGTTAGACTTTAAAGACATTTTAACCTCTTTTGCAAATGCCAAAGCTAGGAAAATTCCATTGGGTGTAAATTAATCTTGTATTATGGTTTCAAAGTTGTATCTACTGTATTGCCAAAAGATTTATCTACATAAGTTCTGTTTGTTATACTGTAATTTCAATATTATAATGATACGTTTTTGTAAATAAAGTGTTGTGTTTCTTAATAAATGGTATACATTTTTTTTTTACAATTTCAAAGATTTTTGTCTCTAATGCTTTTTCATATACTTTTATGGCAAATTATGTTAGCAAAAGTTCGGCATTTTGTAAATAATAGAGTTATTTTTAAATGCTAACAGCGTGCATTTACTAACATTATTGTTTACATTGACCGTCTATGGACCCATTCCTATATTTAAACAAACTGAATACTGTATGTAAAGGATTTAAAAAATACATGGATAACGTTCGATATCGATGAACCCTCTATCGACGCAAACCCCCGAAATACCTTTGTTTAGGAGGGGCGAAAATTTAAATCTTGCCCCGGGCGTCTATAGCCCTCGGGGCGGCCCTGGGCATATTCTTATCTCAAAAATCCTTTCGGGCTCCGCCCCAGTGGCTCTGTAATTCCCCATGTTAACCTTATGAGTATTCATATTTTAAGGGAATTAAAGAATTTAGTCAGCTGTTTCAACTAAAAAAGTTGTTTCTATGATATGGAAAAGCATTAAAAAGTTATAAGATTTACCAACAGGGTGCAGCACTATATTTTTTTTGCATTTATGAAAACAATTCGCAATGAGAACTGTCAAAGTAGGATTTTTTACAGTTATGTTTATGTTTTTCATTTCATGAATAATTTGTGATATTTTGCGAATTGTTGATAATTTATTTTTCTCTATTGTTTAGGTGAAGGGGTAGAACATTATGGCTATGGTAGATGTGTAATACTATAGAATACTGTAAATTTAAAAAAAGAAAATTTTATCAAACTGTGTCCTCCCTTATTGCAAACGCAAAGCTTGAGTATAACTGCAATAAGCATTTTATACTTATATTCCAACCCCGTACGAAGGACGGGTATTCTGCTAGTTATTATATATTGGCCTTGTTGAACTTATAAATTTAATTATACATTTCATTATTAATTGCAAATATCTCCAATATAAGTTAATAATGATAATATTATTTTTAAGGATGGAAAGGCCCCGAAGGAGATTTTTTGGAAAAATGTATTCCCGATGATCAGGATGGGATTACATTTGATTCAGGATTTTCTCAGGACGGGATTGGTTCTAATTGTCTGCGATTTTGCCATGTTGTGTGTGATGATTTTGCCATGTTGTGTGTGACGATGACGATTTATCTGAGATTTCGGGAGACGTTGCCGGTATAGCAGGTGAAAATTATGATGTCTCTGCAATTCTGAGAGATGTTCACAATGGTTCAGCGAACCCAGGAAACGATGATGATGTCTCTGGAATCAGACAACAAGAGACTTGTTGACAATGGTGCTGTGACCACGTGACATGTTAATGATGGTGCTGTAACAGCGAGTGATGTTAACAATGACGGCGTGACAGCGAGACTCTAGATGGTGCCGAGACCGCGATACTTTTTAACAATATCACTGTGACCACAAGAGTTGTTGATGGCAACGCGATTGCGGATTTAGTAAAAATGACAATTTAATAGCTACACATTATAAAATTTAAGTTATGATTACTAAAGCCAATACTGCTTTTCTAATGGTAGCCATACCAGATCTTAAAACCCTACACAGTTTTTTTTAATGCAGTGATGGTCAGTTAATACCTATTTTGGTTTGCTAGCGGTGTTTTACAATTAGACTGATGTTCCGCAGTTTAGTTGGACCAAATGTAAAACTTTTTAGCTAACAGGAAATTATTGGTTTTTATAACAGTTCCACAAAGACTGCGAATTGATTTTGTTTGTCATTATTGCTACCTGCAAGAATGTTCACTCAAGATTTATAAAACATACTCTATTTTATGCTCAGGAAAAAAATCATTTCCTGTCACGAAAATCGGGAAGGAAATAAATGTCTCCCCTCAAACTAAATCATCAAATTATTCCTCCTAGACCTTCCTTCTAGATCCACGAGCTTATTGAATATTGATTTTTCACTTGCCTTTAGGGCCTTGATCTCCTCCCTGAGAGCTTTATTTTCGTCCTCTAGTTTCATCATCCTGTCCGAAATCTCACAAAATTCGTCCCTAGTGGCGAAATTAGCCAATTTTGTGTCTAATAGATGACTTATATCTGACATGAGCTTGCTGTGGGATATATCTCCTACCTTTTCATTCACCATTTCGTCTAGTCTGGACCGTGCTAAGGGCGGTGATTCCGGGGAACACTCTTCTCTGCTACGCTTGTGACGATTGTTGGGCAGTGGAGAGAAGTAAGAGTGAATAGTATTGTTGTCCATAAGCACTAAGAAGTGTAATCAAATCCACAAATACGAAGCACTGTTCACATAAAAGTTAGATCCACAGATTTCACACACAAGAACTAACGGGCACTTGTCGCGACGGGTGTATCGTACCACGTGTAACGCGACCGATGTACAAAGATAACTAAAGAATCTGGAACAGGACGTCAGCGGAGATTGGATCTGGGAGGACAACATACTGTCAGTCTCAACAGCAGCCAACACCATACAACGGCCACGTCATCGGACTCGTCGACGTATGCCCAAATAGTCTGGGTTAACACCCAGGCACTGACCAACACCCAAACTAAATCGTCAATCCTACCCATATCTATATTTTATTGAATCATTAAAAAAAGACACAGTGAAACTTATAACTCAAGCACTAAGAGACAGTAAAAAGATTTTTTTTTTAGTTTGGTTATAAAAGCCTTACAAATGGAAAAGTCACACTTTTAATTAGATAACTATACTGCAAATACATGTGTTCAGCGAATGTTAATGTGTGTATTGAGGTTTATTATTTCTCTGCTATTTCTTAGCAATATTTAAAGCTTTGATGATTGGTTTAGCTTTGATAGTTTATAATGGTCAAATTTTCTTTTCTAGTATCTGTCAGAAGAAGAGGAGGAGGATTTAACCACCACAGCCTCAAATCTCGCCAACAAACAAAAAAAGGAGCTTGCCAAAGTGGACCATGCGGGAATGGATTACATGTCATTCAGAAAGTCATTTTACTTGGAAGTGCCTGAAATTACTAAAATGACAACAGAAGAGGTGGAAGCTTACAGAGAGGTGATTTTGTGTTAAATGTATTAACTGTTATAAATAAACTATATGCCTATGTAAAGTGATAGGGTACTTACTTTGTTCAACAGAATTAATGTTACATAGATAACAAGATATACAATTATTAATCATTCACAATTAGTATTGCTTGACACTGATACAAAGTTCTTTATCCTATTCAGCATTATTTTTAATTTTTTACTATAGTGACTGACGATGAAAGCCATAGAAAAGCAAAAAGTAAGCTTAGATTAAGTTAGTTCAAAATAATCAATTAAATTTGTCTAAAAAACAATATAGATCAGTTTGGGATTTATATGAACACCGGTAACATTAAATTGTTTTGATTGTTTGTTGTCATTAGGAACTAGAAGGAATTCGTGTTAAAGGCAAAGGATGTCCTAAACCTATCAAAACATGGGCTCAGTGTGGTGTTAGCAAGAAGATGATGGAAGCTTTGAAAAAGCAAGACTATGAAAAACCAACACCTATACAGGCACAAGCCATCCCTGCAATTATGTCAGGTATTATTTACTATGATTATAATCTTTCAATGTCTTTTTCTCAGGGTGTACTGTTGACCTGGAAACTGGCAAACCCAGAAATTGTACGTAAATGTTAATTACAATACAGATATGCCCTAATTTGACTAACATTTTGGAAGAGACCAGAAAATTTTATAAAAAAAAAATTGTCTAAAATCACCAATTTTTATTGTTTAACGCCATTGAAAAATGTCGGACGTTGCCACAATTGTAAGAAATTATCCTGACCATTGCCGCAATCACAGGAAATCATCACAAATTTGGCCGCAATTGCTACATAATCACAGATGTTGCCACGATCACAAAAAAGGTCACGGGAGTTGAAATGATTGCTAGATGCGGATATTCCTGCGATTGTGTGAAATCATCACAGTTTTTGCAATTGTGAGGAATAGTTTAAAGTGGTAACATAATGGATGTTGCTTATATCGCAAGAAATGGTCTTGTGTGTACAAATAAAATCATTATTTTCAATAAAACACAGAGCTGGCCATAAAATAATAATAATAAAACATAGAGTACATGTGTTAAATAGAGTTAAGTAAATAACATTAGAAAATATACATTTAGTCGAGGGCTGACGTATAATAAAAATGTATTTTTTTAAACCGCAGAGATTAAAAAAATTTTGCTATGATGGAGATGAACTATCACAGATTTTGCCACCATCCTATGAGATACCCACAGCTTGGTTGCTAATCTGGTGTTGCCACAATCGCCAGAAATCATCACATATTATTATGTAACCATTGCAAGATAGGATCATATTGAATAAGCAGGGTGTTCACCGACCGGGAAAACCGGGAATCATGCGTGATTTTTTTGAACCGGGAAAAAACCGGGTGACCACGGGAGACAACGATGATATTTCCGTGACCGCGGGAGACGACGATGACGTTTTCGTGACCGCGGGAGACGACGACATTTTCGTCACCACGTGTGACAACGATGAAGTTTCCGTGACTTCGGGAGATGACCATGACGTTTCCGTGATTGTGCATGCGGACGATGATGTTTTTCGTGACCGCGGGAAACGATGATGACGTTTCCGTGACCGCGGGAGACGACAATGACGTTCCCATGACCGCAGGAGACGACGATGACGTTCCGGTGACCGCGGGAGAGACGACGATGTCTTTTTCGTGACCGCGGGAGACGACGATTCAAATTCAAAACATCTTTATTTGTTCATGTACATAAAATACAATAAATAGTGTCACAGCAGTTCAAGACATAAATCCAACCTAATATATTTCAGATAATTTTTAGAATAGTTAAACAGCATTCATGTTACTTAACTTATATAGCTCTTTAACACGTTCGCTGCTACGGACGTTCCGGAACGTCAGCCGGGCCACGGCGCCAGGAGCTAAGAACGTTCCAGAACGTCACCGTTCATTGTTGTTTAACGTTGCTATGGATAAGCCAGCACGTCACAAGCGTTCTATATTTCTTTGCAGCTCGTGGGGACGTACTTTTCTGACAATAAAAAATATAGTTTCCCAAATCACCACCAGGGTTGTTTGGAACAGGGCTTTGTTTTACCTCTTTCCTGCTAGATAGCGACACTACTTTACCGACTGTAACCTGGGTAGTGCTGCTATCCATCAGAATCACTTAGTACTATATCAAATGCCAGTATTATTGCAGAACATTGCCATCCAGTATAACTACTGTTGTTTTTACTGTAATTCAGTGTATCGGTGGCAATGTCACGCAGCGGCCGAGCGTTAGTTCAGCAACTGGCGCCGTCCCGGCATCTAGCGCTCAGCAGCGAACGTGTTAAAAGAACAAAATGCATTTTTTATTAAAAACAGTTTAAGTGCATTTCTAAATTTACTACAATTTTCTATTATCAGTATTTCTTTGGGGATGTGTTTTAAAAATACAGCACCGGCATAGGATGGTTTCTTTTTAAATAGCTCGGAGTTATGAGATGGTAATACTATACTTTTTTTATTTCTAGTATTGTAACCATGTATATCCTCATGAGTTACAAAACTATCTTTATTATTTTTAACATGCGTTACACATTGTAAGATATACAACGGTTAGAATTTTTTGTTCGATGAAATGCTGCTTTGCAGACTCATCAGACTCGAGATTTAACATGGCTCTTACTGCTCTTTTTTGACAAGCTAAAATTTTATCAAGGTATTGTTTGGTTGTTCCTCTGTACACACAAATTCCATAAGATATATGGGATTGCACATGGGCGTGATAAACATTCCTTAAAACTGATAAATTACAGAGATAATACAATCTTTTCAAAGCATAAACCCCTGAATTTAATTTTGCTAAAAGACTGTCGACGTGCAAATCCCAACTAAGATGGTTATCAAAGTGAACTCCCAAAAATTTTGTTTTTTCAACCCTATTTACTTGAGTATCATCAACAAGAATTTTGAAAGTATAAGAAAGTATAAAGTATACTGTTAATACTGTTCGATGAAATGGCGACCATACATAGTAGGTATTTTAAGCCAAGTATGAATGGTGATGAGTGTAGGATGAGTGGAGCGATCTTGTAGTCTTGTTAGTGACTAAGGCCGACATTCCTTAGACACAGCTGTTAATTAATAGCCCATACAGCTAATGGCAACTAAGGGACCTACAGTGTATAGTGGAATCCGAACCACATTTTTCCTTGGTCTTGGTATATACGAATTGGTCTAATTATCAGGATGGTACTGCGAATAGTCGTAGTACTCACTCGTGCGGACGTTAATCCACACCAGGGAGTATCGCATCCACAGTGCATGCCTATAAATATCCACAATTCGTGACCACAATATATAAAAATTGAATACTTGTGTCAGGCAATATTACAGCAATCATAATTTTTTTTCCTTAACTGAGAATGCTCTTTCCGATAACTAAAATAGCGAGCTGTGTTAGCGCTAAAACAGCATTGCGGGAGTTGGCGCAAAACATGTTGGAAATTTTAGTATGAAAAGTACGACATGAACTACCTGGAATTTATTTTTTACTCATGAATTACTCATGAATTTTTACCGGTTGGCCTGTTGGACACCCTGAATAAGTCATTTAGGCTACCTAATTTAGAATAATACATAAAAACTAGTGATGGGCGGATCCAAGAAAATGTCGGTACCGGAACCGGATCCCGATCTTGAAAAAATCGGATCCAAATACAGATACATTTTTTCTTTTTTCAAGGGCGGGTTTTTTTAAATAATTCATATGGCTAGGCAATTTCAAAGACTAACTGTGTCCATATACAGGACTATCTGTGTCCATGTACAGGACTATCTTTGGTAGTTCCTACCTTTTCACCTTTAGTTTTGGAAGTTTATTACCATTTTTTCTTAGTTGGTGTGGTTTTTGTAACAGTGGGCATACACAATTTCCAATGGTTTGACAGTGGGTAAAGGAAAAATAAATTTTTGTAATTAAAGAAAATTAAATTTTTTAATCTTGTCTGTTTTAAACAAACATTAAGTCAAAATACTCAAAATGTATGTTCAAAATAAAGTAGGTACTTAAATAGGCCTATAAGTAGCCTACCTTACTATTAAACAAAACAATTGTAGATTGAACATTGTACTGAATAATGTAATAGGCCTATACAATAGTAGTCATAGAAATCAAATGAAACCTAGACTTAGGCCTAATTTAATCTATAATCCATATAGTAGCAAGATTTAGTAACAGAAAGCATTTTGATGTTTATTACCATAGATAAAAAATACTTTGCTTAGTTTATGTTATTACTCTCTAATAGCTACAATAAGAAAAAAATCTTTTGTTGTTATCAATAACTGCGATGATAACAATTATGAGTAATGCGTAGAATGTAGAATGAACGGACCCCCAAGAAAGAATGGAAGAATGAAGAGAAATAATAATGATATTTTTATGTTGTTATCTTAATATCCTTTTTAGGAGTCCAATTATTATCTTTATGTATGATTTTACACTTATTTATGAGTTATCTAATGTTTTACAAGTTTACAGAATAATTATTTTCAACCACGGGAACATAATTTATAATTATCGACTTATAACAGATGCGTTATATTAAAAAGGTCAATGACCCAAAACATCATGATTGCGCAATGTTGTATGTTGACATAAAAATGCAAATCATCGCATTAACTCTAATACGAATAATATTTCTCCTGATCCCTTGCAAGTTGTATTATCAATGCTGAATAATTGTGGTCAATTCAAATTATCTTTTAAATTATTCAAATCTCCTACACAAAAAGACAAAAGCCAAACCAGGCAAGGAAAAAACCTGCTATTGTAATCCCCCTACCCAGCCATTTGGGAAGTGGTGAAAGTCTAGTCTAAATATAGCTCAAAGGTCTCACCCTTCCCTTCCCCCCCCCCCCCCCCCCAACCCGTACTCACTGTTGCTATGCCGCTCATTTCAAGGCCATTGCACAACCCCTCTCTCCCTTCTATTGTTTTGCTTTTATAGTGTTTCTATTCTGACTTTTTTAAACATAAATTTATTGCTTACGTAACAGTTCAGTAGTCTATTGTGAAACAGTAGGCCTACTTTAAAACAAAATCACTACCGATCATGTCATTCTATTCTGTGTCAAGTCAGTATACCATTGCCAGTCAGTCTCCGGCGACTGCTTTGAGTTGACCTATTCTGTTGTGACAGCTATAAAAATCAACTACCTCTTGCTTATTTCTATATTTGTATTTTAGTAGTAAGTTCTAGTAGTAAGTGATTACCCTTGTCTCACTCGGCTACCGGTACATAAAATACATTTTGATAGACTCAGTGTGTGTTGTGTGTATTAATGACAAGCAGGAAGTAGTCTAACATTGCAGAGTGGATAACACTTAAATAGCAAAAAGTGTATTTCTTTGTGGTAAAAAATTCTCCTGCACCATTTTGCTTAAATAGTTAAATAAAATACTCTTTTCTCTCACATATCGTGAAAATCACGGAACAAAATTAATCTTACTTTTGGATTTGTATCTATTCCATAATTGCATACCCTAATTATTTATGCAGGACGAGATCTTATTGGGATCGCCAAGACTGGCAGCGGGAAGACACTTGCCTTCGTTCTGCCTATGTTACGACACATAATGGATCAACCTCCTTTGGAAGCTAATGATGGCCCTATCGGTAGGTTTTGCCTAATTATAGACATTTACTTATTGCTTTCTTTAGCTAGTATATAGAATCCTTATATATAATACGTGAAGGCGATTTCTACAAAACACTACTCCTCCGTTAATAATGAACGGATTTTTACAAACTACGTGTCAAAATAAAGTATTTTTTGTGTAGACGCCCCCTTTCACCAATTCATGTAATAAAAGTCCTCGGGCTTTGCCCCACAGGACATCAAAGTTGCAGTTTCTCCCATAAGATTAACATGGGGGAATCTTAATATTTAATTGGAAACTTTGTCCCTTCTAATTTGAGAGAACGGCTGGGTGTAGAAACTTGGTAGAGGTGTCCAAAGAAAGGGCTTGGTCTGTAGATGAGTTATCAAAAGAAAAACTAAGCAAAATCCCTTAGGACTCTGCCCCAGAAGCCTTTAAAGATCCCTCCACAGAGTTTACATTTTTGCCACGTGAATAATACTTTTTAATGAATCAGCTGTTCATTTTTAAATTGTATTTAACACAACACACATTTATTGGGTGTTACTGAATTCTACCATAGATAAAACATGATTCTACCAAATAATTATTTGCAATGTTATTTTATAGGGGTGTGCGAAGCAGCAAAAAATTTTCGATTCGAAGCAACGATTCGATTCAAAAGATTTTCGATTCGATTCGATGCAACTCGATTCGAAGCAATACGGTATTTTTCTATTCATAATTGTCAATTGAGTGGATTAACAATAATTAAAATTTACCACATTTGTGTAATACAAATTTTTGTTGATGTGGTAGGCCTATTCATACTTAACATATGAATTTTAGGTGAAAAAATTTTATTTTCAATCATAGGGATTAGAATAACCTGTATTGCTGGAAATACCAGTGAGCTGCTTTACTTCCCTATTTCATAATTTTTACTTGGAATTGGCTCAACTGCAAGAAAGAAGAAAATATTTTTTTTTATCAAGACATTCATTCTCATTTTAATAACTGTTTAAATAACTAAATAGGTACCGGTAGCTAAATTACAACAAATTTGAATGGAACTTAATATAAAAAGACAATTAAGAAATAAATTTACATATCACAAGTTTAGGGCCTGTGGACCGGCTTCAGGACTGCAAGCAAGAAGAAAATAAAAATAATATGTTTCCACCATGCAATATGTATCATTCATTCCCTACCTAACTTCCTTAGTATAATAACCTCACACTTACATTATTTGTTACATCATCATAAATAAAGAATTATCTATTATTGGCATGAGTAGGCCTACAGCTTTACATAGGCATTATTTTTATAGGGCCTAAAATAGTAATAGGCTAAGCAACATGACAAGTGGAGAACTCATTGAAGAAAAGATATTGTGTAAACTAATTTACTATAAAACTCAAAAACAGTAAATAACACACAAACGTTGTTTATGGTATAATTATTAAGGACTGTAAAAAATGCATATCATGTCATACAGTAGTATAGACCTACTGCACGAGATTAAAATCCTAAAACAACTGATTTTGATAGCTAATGAATGAAAAGAATTAAAAATCCATAAAATAAAGCCAAACAATATCACAATTAATTAGGTACCCGAAAAGTAACTCTTAAATAATATATAGAAGATTAAAATAATATTAAATTAAGAGATAAGAAAGTTAAATGCTAACTTCTAGTGCCCTTGGACAACAGGTCAATGTTTTTAAACTACCCAAAATGTTTTTGGAACAGCAGGGTCTTTTTCTCTGAAGGAAGGGTAGTAGTATGTCAACAAAAACAATGAACCGCTCTCAACAGCCAGGCCCGGGCAACGATGTGTGCATTCAAGGTCATAGACCCTCCCCCTCCCCTCTTACACAACCCGGTTGCTACCCAGTTGCTTCAATTGCTGACAAAATTCAAGTGATGAAACAAGGAAGTAGAGACAAAAAAATATATTTCTTTATTCAAAAACACAAAACTGTTACAGATCATTTTCAAAGAAATTAATTCATTGTAATTTGTGAGTTGTAAATATTGTATTGGATCTTAGAAATATATTTTTTTAATCCCATCTAACCAAGATACAGATCTGTTCACTATTATCAGATATTTCTTTTGTTTATAATTTATTATGTAAAATACTAAAATATATTTTTTATTAGGTATGGAATAAACAATAAATGATTAAACTAGTATGTCTGGATAAATAGTCTTTCTATTCTTTTGACTTTGTTTTCTTTGCACTGTTAGTGTTGCATCACGGCTTTTGTCTTGTCACTCTTGTCAGTAGACGACTAGACTGGCTCTGGCTAGTGGCAGTGCGGCAATTGCTCCGTTGTGTCTTTAGGTCGTGAGCCAACTTAATCTTTAATTCTCATTTGAACATTTTAATTCCTCTGTAATAATAGATATAATAATATAAGAGTGTTTCATTGGAAATAAATTGTTCTTTTTTTTCTTTTGCCCGAACATTCGGGGATCGGCAGCCCCTAACAAAAATACCAAATGTATCAGTCTATAACATTAATCTTACTAGTTAAGTATTAAGTAACAATTTTTCAGACTTATTTTTAAAATGATTTTGGAGTAACCTATCTTGTTTTGGCTAGGTTTACAGTAGTAAAATATTTTTCACACTGCTTACATCAAGACAAAAAACAAAACCTCTCATCATTTGCAATGTCAAAACAAAAAAATATAAAACAATTAAAGTTATATTTAATGCAAAGAATGTATTAAATAAGAACGCCTTCGTAAAGGAACCGCAACAGCAACGCGCTCCTGTATTGCGGGTATTGCATTGACTTTCTGCAGGCGTTTTTCGTATATGGATACTGACTCCCTCATGAATCGAATCGTTTTTTGACCACCACTGAATCGAATCGCGATTCGATGCATCGAATCGAATCGAATCGAAATTTCGATCCATTTTCGATGCATCGCACACCCCTATTATTTTATGATGTTAAAATTGATTTTCTGCTTTATCATGTCATGTTTTGTAATATAACGTTCCATTACGAAATCAGTGGAGAATCCTTATCACAACAATTTTAAAATTATTTCTTATTGAACTATCTTACATCTATTGTAGGGGTTGGTGTCTATTCACACCTTTTCCCTATATTTTATCATATTATTCTAGACAGATCATCATAGGTTCATGGGATTATTGTTATAAATGCTTTCAATCATTGGTCTTCGATTGTGTAATACAATACAAAATAATACAAGTGCAGAAGGGCACGGTGCCCATTTGAGCCGTGTCCATATTTTGTTAAATTAATAGTGGTTTACAGCAACTGGATAAAACATTTTACAATATTTATGTAGAAATATGTGCATGATTTAGAAAGTCATTATGCTGGAAAACTGCAATTTACTACAGACTTTTCAGAGTCGATTTATTCATTCAGCTTAGTGAAATCATAATTGTATAGATATGAATACAAATAAGAACTCTTAGAGCCTTAGAATGTTATTAGAATAACGAAAAGGGTAGTGCATGTTTACTAGCGCTACACAAAAAAAAACCATTTAATTTATCTCTAAGAAATATATTCTTAAAGTGCACTGAACAGCAGCCTAAAGAAAATCTATGTAACTTACCCATAAGCTACAAAATGCTCAAACTCGAGTTGTGACATTTATAATTCGGCTTATATATGTTTCTCTAACAGATAATTCATCTGCTGAAGAATTTGATTGTGCTCTTACCGTGTCTAATAACATCCAAACACAGAAACCTTGCCTAAAATGATACCTATCTTGGCAAACTATTTTCAGTAGCCTATATATTTCAGACCGTAACCTACTGGGTTGGTAACATTATTAAAAATAACACTACATTTTGGCTGTAAAAAATTGCCCAATGAGTAAATACTATTTGGGCAGCTACTGTCATGACAGAAAGGTCATACATTCCTTTTAAACTAGATCACATCATCCTTTATAAGATACGTTGATTAACAATGCATGTAAACGTCAATATTTACGTAACAGCCAATTTACAGTATTTTTTGCTTTTTGGAAATGCCACATTACTATTTCATTCGCATTATTTGTTGCCAATGAAGCTGCACGACCATATAAATGAGGAGGCCCCTAACAGTTCAAGAATAATAGCCAACTTCACTTTAAGTATTCCACTACACATACCATTTCGTACAGAGATTATATTGACAACTTTATGTCATTGATAAGGCTGAGACAACTAATAACTGACATCCTCCGTGTCAAGGAATTCCAGCTTTTACAGTAACCCCACAATCAATTTCTCAAAACAATGCTAGAGGGTTCATTCATTGGCACAGAAGTACGATATGAACTTACGCGACGTGACGAAGGAAAAATATAACTTACACTGTAACGGATATACCTCCCTTTGAAGTTAAAATATGTCTTCCCAAATAATATTTTCTTTTGAAATAAAATCATATTACACTGATGAAATCACGGAAGTGTTTAACTTCAAAAGATCCATTAATACGATTTTAATACTATTTAAAGGTTCTTCCAAAGGAAGAGATACCATATAACATACTAATAATAACTCCGATGACGTACGGTATGAGGAATAATTTATTCATTGAATGATCAACCAAATTTTGCAACTAACACATTTAATATCATTATTGTTTTTACACTTATTACTCTTGAAAGAATGCTAAATGCTCAAAATATGTATATTTCACCCAATTTATCGCAGTTAAATGAATTAACTTAAGCCTTGAAAGTAACCGTCGATTTCGACGGGTTTCACCTAGTAGTTCTTATAATATTCTGTCACTTGTCACTCAAAACCTGTAAACTTGTTTTTACAGATTAAGTAAACAGTAGACCCTCTCTAATCCGACACTGCACCTCTCCGGCACTGCAGTAATCCGACATCTTTTGAGTGAGGTCTTCCGCGATCGCGGCAAAATTCCGAATATCTCCCATGGCCGTGTATCATCATAACATCACATCATCATCCACTCCCGCGGTCACGGAAGCATCATCATTGTCTTCGCGATAGCGGTAAAATCATGAACATCTCCCACGGTCGTTTGGACATCATAATCTACTCCCGCGGTCACAAAAACGTCATCGTCGTCTTGCACGATCGCGGCAAAATCATGAACATATCCCCCGGTCATAAAGACATTATAGTTGTCTTCCGCGGTCACGGCAAAAATTGTATCACCCCCCGCGACCGTGTAAACATCCTAATTCACTCCCGCGGTCACGGAAACGCCATCGTCGGCATGCGCGATCGCCGCAAAGTCATGAATATTATTTATGCGGACGTTTAGACGTTATCATCGCCTCCAGCGGCCACGTAAACATCATCATCGTCATGCGCGATTGCGGCAAAATCATGAACATCTCCCGCAGATGTTTAGACTTTATCAACCACTCCCACGATTACGGAAACATTATCTTCATCATGCCCGATTGCGAGATCTTTGGAGAAGTGTTTTAAGTGCATTTTAAGTGTTTTTTTAAATAACATTCCGGACAGTAACCTGGCATTTTCATTAATCCAGCAGTATAACGGTCCTATATCTGCCGGATTACTGAGAGTCTACTGATTTTAATGTTAAATCCATCTTGCTGCATAGCAAATTTGACTTAGAGTTAAGGAACTCTGAACGCTTCCAATGTTTAGTTAATTTGGCAAGAAAAGAATACATGAGATAAGATTAAAAGCCAAACGTTAGGTTAGCCAGTACAAAGATTATGGTTGGCCAAAAGTGAGCTAGCATATGTGTATAACAAGAAGTGGTAAGCAGCATGGGCGGGACCAGCTTAACTAGTAATGTAGTTGAGCGTTAGCAGGAAACAATGTGAGTTCACCCATCAAAAATTAACAACTTAAAGTGACATCCAAATCCAATTGAGTGGGAGGCCAATGCTTTTACAGAATGTAAATGTCTTTTGAACTATATTGTCTAAATTTCCTTTATGAACCACCTCAAGGAAAACTTTTGTGTTTAATTTGTATTGTAGCTAAGTAATTGGTCATGTTTCAAAAACTAAGTTGGAAAATGGATATTGTACAAAGCTGTCCAATAAAAAAAAAAAAAAAACTCCAATATCCAGTAATGTGTAAAATTGAGCTTGAATTGCTGCAACCAACATTGTCACAACACAAATGCTGCAACATTACCCTTAAGTATCAATCAAACATTGTGTATGTTCCCAGCCCTCATCATGACGCCCACTCGTGAGTTGTGTATGCAAATAGGCAAGGAGACTCGTAAGTTCACCAAGTCCCTCAACCTGAGGGTAGTCTGTGTGTACGGAGGTACAGGCATATCAGAGCAGATTGCCGAGCTCAAGAGAGGTGCAGAGATCATCGTCTGCACACCTGGCCGCATGATAGACATGTTAGCAGCCAACAATGGTGAGCATACAGTCATAACGACATAACTATATTATGTATATTTTAGGATAGTAATAATCTTGACAATGTCATCTGTTTATTAGCTATGCTATTATCCAAATCTTTATGTGACAATAAAGAATTATTTATTTATTCAACACGCTTTGAATAAAAACATATCGTGGTGAATAAATAGTTTTGGTCCACCTTTATATCAATTCATCCATCAGTTAAACAGACATTTAGTTATAACTTCAGTATTTGACCAATCTGACTGTATGATTTGAGGTTTCAACTCACTAATTACACTTATTGCAATTAAGTGACTTTCTGTTAGTAAGAACTAAGATAATTGGGTTCATTTGGTTGTGTCCTCTTGGTCAGGAGATTTTTGGTGGCCAGGTACAACAGTAGACACAAATCCTAAATCCTCAAAGTAATAATAAAATAAACTAACAGGGTTTGTAGCGTCAGGGAAAACCTGGAAAAGTCAGGGAATTTTGTTGGTCTGGAAAAATCAGGGAATAAGTCAAATCAAATCAAATCAAATCATCTTTATTTTTGCACAGAAAAAAACTGTATAATAGCGTCACAAGAATATATAATAAAACTAAATTATAAATGCTGTTAGAACTAAAACGTAACTGAACAGTATCTTAATTCGATCGGCAACTTAAAAAATCTTTCACAGTGTAGGGAGCTTGTTCCAAGAGTATGCGTTTGACCGCTCTCCCAAATTTGTCTTTGTCTTGCTCCACTTTCAGGGGTTCAGGCAACACATTGAAAAACCTGATACTATTATAAAATAGATGTCTCTCAAAGAAACTTGTCCTGTGCTTAGGTAGCTTAATATTGTTTTTTTGTCTGAGAGTGTACTGCATTGAATGGAACTGCGGTTGATACAGATGATAATTACTTTTTAAAAACGATAGACAACTGAGTATGTATATGGATGGAAATGTGAGAATATTGTATTCCTTGAAGAGAGGCTTGCAAGAAGTACGACGGGATATTCTGAAGGCTGCTCTTAGGGATTTTTTCTGAAGACGGAAGACAAACTTTGTTCGTACGCTCTCACAGCCCCAAACTGCCACCAAATACGACAATAATGGGTAAATCAGTCCATAATAGGAACTCAAGGTTACACGAGAATCGGTAAACCTCGAATAATATTTGGAATATTTTCCTGAAAGACTACTTTTTAACAAATATGCTACATTTTGCTCTAAACATGTTTTTGTCAGGGCGATGACTAATGGCAAAAAAAAAAACATAAGAACTGATGCAGAATTTTACATTGATAGTTGGTTATCAGTTAGGGGGACAAATCCAAGTTTTGTATTTGGGAGTGATTTTTGCTCGTTCACTCAGCACCAGTACTTATGCAGTACGGTATGCGATCTGGTGGGTGGAGGAAGTCAGTGGGTCTAAGCAAGCTGAGCGGTCAGATGGTTCACTTGTCTAGCCAATCCTAGGCTTGTATTTTAGTAAGCAAGCTATTCAATCACCCTCTGATCACTGGCTTTGAACGCACCCAGTGCCACAATGTGGGGAAGGAAAGGCCTACATTTATCGTTTTCATTTCAATATGATACTGAATACAATTCCTCATTGAATTTATACCAATTCGGATTAAACCTTTAATAAATCTAAAAAAAAAAAACTTCTTACATCACTTGTAGCAGTAGTGATGTAAAATTCCTGGGAATATAAAATCGAGGAAATATTCCCAGGGAATATTGCCGGCATTATTCCCAAAATCCATAAATTCCCGGGCGTTTATGATTAATTAGCAAAGTAGATTTAAAAGTTACTTAATAGGTAAAAGCCGTAATTATATGGTTAAATCAACCACAAAAACTGAAATATATTTTAGTACAGAATTTTAGACTAAATTAAAACATAGTCTTGCAGTTCAAATAGTGTGTTTTTTAATCCATTACATGTTTCGCCACGTTGGCATTTTCAAGTGGTACACAGAAATATTAGAAACATTATAATATCTGAATTGGACTCGTCGAGTTGTAGAAATTTACATTAAAACATAAAACTGTATACACATTTGACAGGTACAAACAAAACATTTTCATGTAGGCCTACAACACTATTGTAACCCGATCACGACACTAACAGAGACAGAAGTTGTGTCAAATGATCTTCTTGTTACTTTGGAGGCATCTAGCCGAACTAAACTTTGAAATATTATCAAACTCAAGACACAAAATTTCAGTCTAAGCAAGTGTTTATTATTTAATTGTCTGGTTGTAAAACTGTAATATTTTTTTAAATAAATTATTAAATACTTAACAGAAATAATATTTTGTTATTACCATACATTGGATCATAGCAAATAAAGTTGGAGACAATTGCATTCAGTTTGTACTTACAGATATTTCTTTTCACAGGAAGGGTAACAAATCTCAAGCGAGTAACTTACATTGTGCTGGATGAAGCAGACAGAATGTTTGATATGGGATTTGAGCCTCAGGTAAGTTTGATGTTATCTTTGCACAAGACAATGTTAGCAGACTTTAAATATTATTTAACATTCACGGTTGTTAAGATTGTCCCATAATTGAGGATAACAATAAATTATCAATGCTTGAGATTAGTGATGGGCAGATCCAAGAAAATGTTGGTACTGGAATTTTTCAAGATCCGGATCCACACTGTCATAAGGGTGGGTTAAAAAAATACTTAATTAACAGAATGCCAATTTAAATCATACCGTTTACATTTAAATTGGTAATGTTTAAAGGTTAATACATCTTATATATAGAGTAATCTCCAGTTGAGCCCATGATCCCTAATTTTTTGGGGACACTAAAACTTTTCAAAATCATAAAATGAAATGAACACCAAAAGGGTATCTGTGTATATTTTACTATAGTTTGATCTTGAGTATGCTATATCGCGGTTTTTGCATGCAGCATCCAATTTATTTATGCCTGGATCACCTCTTGTTAATCTCTTCCTTAAATTCGTTCCAGGTCCACAGTAGGTCCTATCCTACTGATAGCCGGGTATGTGAAGTTCTACAGGTAAAATACACTGTGTCTCTTTACAAGAAGACTGTACTGTGTCCTACCTTAGAAAAATATTAGATGGGGGAGTGTTGACTTTTTTATTCACCCTGTATGGACACAGATAATCTTCTTGTACACAGACACAGGGTATTTTATCTGTAGAGTTTCACAGGTTTCACATACCCGGCTGTCAGCACTGTGGACCTGGAACAAAATTTGGCGGTAAAAATTATTACCGGGAAGTGCATATGCCCTGCTATCATTACTGTGGACCTAGAACAATATTTGGCGGTAAAACTTATTACCAGTGGAAGTGCATATGCCGGCTATCATTACTGTGAACCTGGAACAAAATTGAAAAAACGGCTATATACAGTACTGTGTATTTGCTCCACTCTCGATAGTCAGACAGCTTTGTGTTAGTAAAAAATCAGGGGAAAAATTGGATCCATCAAAACTGGATCCAGCCCAAGATCCGGAATTTTTTTTATCCGATCGGGTGCCGGTTCTAGCTTGGATCCGGTAGTCCGATATCCGGATCCGACCATCACTACTTGAAATAATCTTCTAGTTTTATGGTATCCAAACTCCCTTATTGTGGTAACACCATTCATGTTCATAACAATACATACAGTTAACAGTTTACACACACGTAATACACTCAACCTATCACTTGATTTTTGAGAAGCACTTTAGATTCTCCTTAGTTTCAGAGAAATGTCGTAGTCCAGTTCCAAGCAAGACAACATTTATGTCCAGACGTGATAACAATCACTTCCAAAAATAATTTTCCCATTCACTAAACAAATTACCCGCAACTCATGTCTACGCACAGGCCTTGCCTATGTAGACCATTTCCATATAAGTTGATAAGGTTTTTTTTCCCTTTGTGCCATTTAGTTATAATATTATTGTGTAAGTTATTTTTAAGTCAAGGTTTGTGTAATTTATTATGTAAAATACCATGAACTAGTTGGGAAATAAACATTATTTCATTTAATTTCATATTTCATTTCATTTCATTTCAATAAATATAACAACTGTTATAATTCAACATTCACTGTTAATCATGCCAGTTCTACACTGTGTTAGATGCTTTTATACTGTTGATAATAAACTTACAAAAGATTGTAGCCATTAAAATGGTTTGTGTTGTTAAAATACTCTTTTCATAACTAATATTACTAAGATGGTAACTGCAATATATCATAAACACTATATCATACAAAAGGGTTGCATAAGACTGGTGGTGCCTGGATTTTCATCAAATTTAGAAATTTAAAAAAATCTACCCATAAAAGAATTTGCAGTGATTCTCCTTAAGACTATATTATCTATTAACATTTTAACAGGTGATGCGAATCATCGAGAACATTCGTCCAGACAGGCAGACTGTTATGTTCAGTGCTACATTTCCCAGGCAGATGGAAGCGTTGGCTCGCAGAATCTTGAATAAACCTATCGAGATTCAGGTAAGTGTTTCTATTACTTTTGTTATTGCAATTGCTTAAATTTTTGATTTTCATGACATCTAATTTGAATTAACAATTGGTTCCTACATTTTAAAGGCATACATTTTTCTCTTTCTGTTCTGCTGGTATAATTATGTTTTTGACTGCCTATCTAATGTATTATACAACATTTTTATAATTTACTTACCCTTAAATCAAGTTGTCCATAATTACCAGATATAATTGTCTTTCTTGAGACTCAATTGTATTATTGACTCTAATATTAAAATTCTATGTTTATCTGAACATTGGCTTTCATATGATGGAGTTAATCAAAGCTTTCTATTGTGCTAGTGCATTTTGCAGGTCTGAGCATATCAGAGGAGGTACCACTATATTTGTACATAATCAATTTCAATCTAGGATTTGTGACGTTAGTATGTTTTGCAAAGAATTAACTTTTGAAGCATCTGCAGTTTTTATAGATGATTTAGACACCATTGTAATTTCTGTATACCACTCTCCTAATGGAAATACCCAAGAATTTTTAATCATCATTGAACAACTATGAGAACTTTTTATAACATTATTTTTAGCCCATTTTAACATTGTGCATTTAGAAACTAAGAACATAATCTCAAAATAGTGCTAGATAAAGATAAGTATACACCACATAATATACATAAATCTTTATTTAGCACTATTTTGCTATTATGTTCTTAGTTTCTAATAATATAATATTATGTTCTTTTCTTAACTTCATAAGTATTCGTATGGCTCATTCACGTCCTGGTTGAAGTTCGTTCGCTACGCTCACTCACCTTTAGGTTGGAGCTCGTTCGCTGCGCTCACTTGCCTTCAGGTTAGCTCGTTCGCTACGCTAACTCACCTCCAGGTTGAAGTTCGTTCGCTACGCTCACTCACCTTTTGGTTGGAAATTATTTGTTGTCATAAATAAAAAAAAAAATAATAGTGCTGCACCCTGTTGGTAATCCTTACAACTTTGATGCTATTGAACATCATAGAACAGAACCAACTTGTTTAATTGAAACAGCTGTTAAGATTCATTAATTCCTTTAAATATGAAAAATCATAAGGTTAACATGGGGAACTACAGAGCCACTGGGGCGGAGCCCGAAAGGATTTTTGAGATAAGAATATGTTTTAATGTTAATCGGGAATGTGAGCTATCATCATGCCAAATTTCAGCCCAATACGTCCAGTAGTTTATGCGTGATTGAGCAACACACACACACACACAAACACACACACAAACTCACAAACTTTCAGATTTATAATATTAGTAAGATTATGGGGGGGAGCAAGTTATACTAGTTATATACTAGTTATTTCCGTCTCAGAAAATTAGTGATTTTTTGAGTCCGAGTTAAACATGGACTCAAGCCAGCTCAAGTCAAATCATATGCAACTCATACCAAGTATTTGTTGTAAGTAGGCTACAATATATCTGATGATATAATACTGACTTGTAATATACATATAAATAAAAAAGGCGTTTAAAAAGCTTAAAAATTGTATTGTTCTTCCATTTAACCTTCTATTTAACCCTAGTTCCCGATAACCCGGAATTTCACAAACTCGCCACCCTTCCAGTCCACATTACGCCGAGTTTGCGGGACTCTACTGTACTTTTTATTTACATATACACACCTCACGCAGACTAAGAGGATGGAGGAATATTTTTTATTTGTATAATAAAGAGACATCAGCTACTACATCTTAGAAAAAGTACAGGTTGGAAATTAACAATAATTTGTTCCCTGAGAGACTTGATTAAGATGGCCTTTACAAAGAAATCTGCACACACTTGAGCTGCTATCCCTTTGTTCTGCAAATCTAAATCCTGGCCCAGAGTATTTGACTAAGCTCGAGCTGTCCGATGGTAATTCTTGTAATGTGTGTCGTGCAGGTGGGTGGGCGCAGCGTGGTCTGTCGGGAGGTAGAGCAGCATGTGGTAGTGTTGGAGGAGGAACAGAAGTTCCTGAAGCTGCTGGAGCTGCTGGGAGTGTACCAGGACCAAGGCAGTGTCATTGTGTTTGTGGACAAACAAGAGAACGCAGACGCTCTGCTCAAAGATCTCATGAAGGCATCTTACCCTTGCATGTCTCTACATGGAGGCATTGATCAGTACGACAGAGATAGCACCATTGTTGACTTCAAGGCTGGCAAAGTTAAGTTGTTGGTGAGTATCTTTGGTAACAGTTAGTACAGGGTGTATACCAACCGGGAGAACCGGGAAAAAACCTTAAATTTGTAGGGACCTGGAAATATTTGGAGCAAATTTTTGGTATTTTTGGAGCAAATTCGGGATTTTTATTTTAGCCACAGAAGAAGATTGCAATCATAAGGCGTGTCTGAGAAGTTCGCACGATAGAATATGATGACTTTTTCTTGACCGCGGGAAACGACGATGATGTTTACACGGCCGCATGAAATATTCGTGGATCGTGGACGACCACGATGACGTTTCCGTGACCGGGATTCAATTTGCAATTTTAAAAGATCCTTCAATATAATACGCCTTTTGACATTATGTTGCCATTACAAATTTTTCATTTGCAAGGGTAACAACGTTTAAAAAAATAAAATAGTCGAAAAAATATTTAGTTTTTAAAATGTTGACATGTCACATATAAAATTAAAGCTGAACTCAGGAGGATTACGAATTTTCAAACAGAACAAAAATAAGTTTAGTGGTTTCCAAGATATTGCGTATTCTGTAAATATCAATATTTTCCGTACATACGGCCGCCATTTTGAAATGGATTAATATAAAGGAGTTGTGTTTTCACTAAATTGCTTGTCTAGTCTAGAGCTTTAAAATGATGCATAACATGACATATGTTTACATTTGAAAACATTCTGTATCCTACCACAGCATTCTTTACCATTACCAATTTTGTTTAAAACAGAATGATTTAAATTGGATTCTGTAAATATCTAATTGGTTTTTTTTAACCTCTCCTTATGACAGTATACGTATCCGGATAAGAATATTCCATGATCTGGATTCGAAACCGACATTTTGTTGGAGCCCCCATCACTAATTAATTAGTATAATGAAATATCCCACCTTACAGATTGCCACATCCGTTGCTGCTAGAGGGTTGGATGTCAAACAGCTGATATTGGTGGTCAACTACGACTGTCCCAACCATTACGAGGACTATGTCCACCGCTGCGGTCGTACTGGCAGGTAAGTCTTTGATGATATGAATGATGTTTGATAACAATACATTAGGCTTGTCAAAACTGTCTTGGTAAACTTAGGCCTAGTAGTAACAACCATTTACTAAATGTCAGGTATTAACACACAAGAATAAACACCCCCACCGCAACAAACCTGTAGGCTAAGCAAATTTCCATTTACACGGTTTCATTTTCCTCAAAATATTTCCTTAAAAAATACCTCAATATTAAAAGAAAAATTAAAAAAAACAACCAATTAAAAAAAAAAACAAATCAGCAACTGAACCTGTGACGTAATTTTCCTGGCGGACGACAAGAGGTAAATTACGCCACCGGTAAGAAAACGAGATCCCAGGATTCGCCCTAGTCTGGTCGCGGGGAGTTTCCCAGGAGTCGATAGTGATTCGGATAGCCTAACTTTGATAGCCCTGGTTGTCAGAGCTCGAGACGAACGTTGCGGGTTACTAAACACCCTACTCGAAATCACCACTCTAGCCTAGGGCTTGTGGGGAAATAAATAATTTTGACTTGACTCTGTGGGCAAATATCTAAATGACACACTACTAGCTAACTTAACAAATCAACAAGTAAGCTAAGTAGTCACTCCGCTTACCTACGGAGTTAAGTTGTCAACCTGAAACAAACAAGGTTAGAACAAGAATAGGCCTAACCTAGTCTAACTCCCACAGAGTCCGAATTTACTAAAATGATAAGAAAACAAGTTAGCCTAAGTGGTCCAGGTGAGGAACGAACAAAAAAACGAAACTAAAAAGGTGAAACTGCTCCTTGAGCCAAAAACGAAAAACTAAAACTTTAACTTCCTCACGTGTTCAACTTAGACCAACTTCGACAGAACTTGTCCAGCAGAAACCTGTCTGCTGGAACAGACTTTGGTACGTTTGGGGAACTTTAAAAAAAGGGTTTTAAGAATTAAAAAAGAAAGTCCCAAGACGGATTATGAAACGTAATTGAAAATATATTTCACCAACTGCAGTACTTTACTCAAATTGTTGGTTAAGGCGTATGACTAGGTCTGCGAATCAGGCCTAGCCTTCAAGTTCAACCAAGTTTCGTACACGAAAACTGGTCAAGTAATATACAATAATCTGTAAGTTAGTTACAAAACTTACCCGATGACGAAATTATATCAAAATATTCACTACGAAACAATACATACGAACTTAAGCTTTCAGAGCTTGCGATACGAACTTTAACTTGCACGAATTTTCGAGAACGAACCAAAAGCGAAACAAACTTACGAAAAGCCGGGATTACGAATGAACAAATCTCCACCAATCTTCTTCTTCCTTCACCTTCGTCTCAGAATCGAGACGAAAGTTAAAACGATTCCTGATTGGTCAACGAGCTACAGAAACCGAAAAAAACTGGCAGCGAAGGCAGGCGCATGGCAGCTTTAACAGGCTTACAGCCGCGTACCGCTCAAAGGTGACCCCGCTGCTCATCTTCTCTCCCGTAACCCGGCCTCAGACGCAGTCGAACAGCCAAACAACCAAACTGACACCAACGTCGTCTGCGGTCTTGGAATTTGAGGTTAGGTACGATGTCAGTTTAGTGTCGCGACTAGGCTTACTCAACAGCTTACGTTTAGCTGTTTAAAGTTCGTGGTTTAGCCGTTATTTTACCCCCTACACATTTGACCCGTTACACCCCCTCCACACTTCGGAACGAAAAAAAGAAAACCGAAAAAAAGAAAAAAAACTGTTGAACTTTCCTGTAGACGACACCACAGTAGGATCGTGGTTAAGAAAAGTTGACAGAAGCCGATGCCGGACCCCGTTGGTCCGGCTGCTCCAGGGTGTTGACGACAAAAAGCGGACGAAGTTAGGAATAATGTAGACAGTCTAAGGCCGAGTTGCCTCAGAGGTCTAGACGAAAACGAATCGGGGCGAAGAGTCACCAAAGGTGAAGAGTAGGCGTGAGGTTTACGAAGGTAGGGTGGTACGGCAGGCTCGGAGTCTTGGAAGCGCGGCGAAGAGCTTCTCACGATGTTACGTCACCCCCCAGACGAGGGTTACCTCTGGCTGCTTGTCGGCTGCTTGACGTGGCCGAAAGGATGGACGAACAAACGGATCGCAAGACGTCGCTGCGGTTGCGGGATTTCTGCATCTTAGTCACGTGCACAGAAAGGTTTTAAGTCTTTCACGTGCACGACGTGCACCGCAGCCGAATCCTCATCTTGTACCTCGTAGAGATTAGTGCCTCGACGACCGACCACAATGCAGGGGCCATGATATTTTGGCGCTAATTTCCCTACAATGGCGTCAGCAGCGGAAGACAGGACGTGGAGTCTTCTCATCACCTGCGCGCCAACTTCGTAAGTCACCTCCCTACGACGGAGGTTATAATATGTCGATTGCCTCTCGTAGGCAGCCTTGAGGTTCTTGTGTGTCTGCGTGATCAGACGTTGAAACTCATCCAGTCGTTTGCGATGGGTCTCACTTAACGAGGGACCTTGGGGAGTTTCAGACACCTCAAACGAAGGGCCCCGGACGGCACAGGGAGGTTTCAGTTCGCGACCAAAACACAGCATCGCAGGAGTGAATCCAGTAGAGTCGTGGACAGCTGTGTTCAGGGCGTACTGAAACTCCACCAGGTGGTTGTCCCAAGACCTATGGTTGCCTTTTACGAACTGTGCAATCATGGTCTTCACCACCCGGTTTTGCCTCTCGACTGGGTTCGACTGTGGGCTGTAGGGGGCCGTTGTCTGTAGCGTGATGCCCCAATCAGCAGCCAACTCTCGAACCAGTTTACCGACGAACTGCGTGCCATTGTCCGTAATCAACACATCCGGAGCTCCATGTCGAAGTAGGATAGCCTTCAGCTTCGTCACCACATTCTTTGCGGTTGCAGACGCAATGGAGGCGAGTTCCGTCCATTTGCTGAAGGTATCCTGCACCACAAGCAGAAATCGCTGACCCCGTTGCGATCTAGGCAATGGGCCTACTAGGTCAGCAGACACTGCGTACCACGGTCCTTGGGGTTGTCGGAAGTACATCTTCCCAGCTGGTTTCGTTTGGGGTACTTTATAGGCCTGGCATTGGGCGCAAGACCGTACATAGGCCTTCACCTCACGACGCCAGTTAGGCCAAAAGTACTCCCCACCAACTCGGGCTAACGTCTTCTTCACCCCAAGATGTCCTGCCGTAGCCGTGTCGTGGTTTTCGTGCAGCACCACGGATACTTGGTCGCTTGGCACACACACCCTCCATGTCGTAGGTCGATCCTTCCTCGAGACAGCACGGTACAGCTTACCGTCGCGAAGCTGGTACCTTGAGTATCGCCCAGGGTGTTTGCTGACCAGATTGCGAAGGCGGTCATACCAAGCATCGTGGCTGCCCGGCGGGTTACCATCGTTGTCCACGTCGGATGATGGGTCGTCAGTCTCCTGCTGCGTCGGACCAGGAGCTTCGTCGTCGATAACGTCACCCGCCGGATCATCACCGAGTGAAAGTTCGTCACCTTCAACCTCGGTTAGGCGTCGTAACCGCAACTGTTCCCTTGCAGCGCGTCTGGTTAAAACTCCGACCTCAAACGTAGGTTGATCGGGTTCACCAGACGGGCTGGGCACTTCAGGGACTGGCTGACGAGACAGGGCGTCTGCCACTCTGTTCGATGTCCCCTTGCGGTACCTTATCTCGAAGTCGAATTGCTGTAACTCCATTACCCACCGAGCCAGGCGCCCACTAGGCTCACTGAGCTTAAGCAGCCATTTTAGGGCGACATGGTCGGTTATCGCAATGAAGTGGTAGCCTTCGAGATAAGCCTTGAATTTCCGAACAGCCCACACGAGAGCAAGACACTCCTTCTCGGTAGTCGTGTAGTTCTGTTCGGCCTCAGAGAGTAGCCTACTGGCATACGCAACGACCACTTCTCGGTCGTTTACACTCTGAGTTAGCGCTGCTCCCAGGCCATAATTCGAGGCGTCGACCTGGAGCACGAAAGGTTGGCTGAAGTCGGGACAGGCGAGAATCGGGGCCGTCACCAAGGCACTCTTCAGAGCTTCAAACGCCTTAGTTTGTTCGGGTCCCCAGAGCCACTTGGCGTTCTTCTTCAGCAAACCTCGAAGCGGAATGGTTACTGAAGCGAACTTCTCGACGAATCGCCGATACCACGACGCAAGGCCTAGGAAACTGCGAAGTCCCTTGACGTTCGTGGGTGCGGGGAAATCCTGAATGGCGCGGACCTTCTCAGGATCCGTGGCAATTCCATCTTGGCTCACGATGTGTCCCAAATACTTCAGCTCCCTACGGGCGAAGTGACACTTCTCGGGGTTTAAACGAAGGCCCGCCTCGCGTAGGCGGCGAAAAACAACCCCTAGAAGTTCTAGATGTTCCTCGAAAGATGTTGACACTACCACAAGGTCATCAAGGTACGCGAAGACCATCGGCTCCAGCTCAGGCCCGATGACTCGATCCAGAAGGAAGGTGCTGCTGGAAGGTGGCACCGGCCGAGTGTAGGCCAAACGGCATGACCTTGAACTGAAAAAGGCCTAGGCCTGGCACAGTGAAGGCGGTCACGGGGCGACTGTCGACGGCCAGTGGCACTTGCCAGTAGCCTTGCTTCAGGTCCAAGGTACTGATGAACTTGGCCTGCCTGAGCTTCTCAAGGATGGCGTTAATCCTAGGCAGAGGATAGGCGTCTTTGATCGAGGAGTCGTTCACCCGGCGCATGTCGATGCAAAAGCGGTATTTCCCAGTCGACTTTCGGATCAACACGATCGGAGAGCTCCATGGACTCTCGGATGGTTCAATTACACCATCCTTCAACATGGCAGCTACTTCATCGTTGATGACCGCTTGCATCGCAGGGTTACGAGGGTAGTGGCGCTGTTTGATCGGGACTGCGTTTGGTTTGAGCCGGATGACATGCTCAGTCAACGCCGTGGGTCCCACAACAGCATCGAAGAGAGGGAGTTCTTTCTCGAGAAAATTCTTGAGATGTTGTTCTTCCTTAGACGTCAGCGGTTCCAGTGTGCCCGTCGCACAA